ATTGTAACTGCGACGCAAGAATTAACTGATAAATAGTACCTTACAATAAGATTCTATTGGCAAATTTGTGCTGCAATAGTCTAAAATGCCGGCGATAACTAACGACAAATCGTGGGCTGGTTTGGATGGTAAACAGTGAATTTGCCTTTGACTGCAGTAAAAACGTTTTAAATGTAACAGAAACGAATGTTGATATTTGTCCCATAGGAACTTAGGAGAGTTCAACCTTCACGTTATTAGTTCATGAATCAAATTTCTTAAGACTGAATCCGTGAAAAGGGACAAATTCCCTGTCTCGATCCCTGGCATTGATTTTTGCATTGCCAATTTATCGCTGACCATGCGTAAATTACGGGATTTATATACCACAAATAGAGCTAAGCTAAAGAATTGTGCTTGTGTCTATAGAGGAAACAAGAAGACGCCTAAAGGCGTTTACGCGGGATTTGTCAGTGTAAGTAAGAATTATGTTGAATGGCATTGGACAGTTGAGCAGTGTATCAACAACGAATGTTTGCAGGAGAGACAGAGATGTACTGTTAAATACACCGGAAGGGTTTCTTTGCTCCTCAAAAAAAAAACTTACATCAATATTACCACCATATATGTTAAGAGTATGGGGTAGTTCACTAACATTTGCATTCCGGCTTTACTAATATCCTCAATAAATGCACTTCCACATTCAACAATAGCATGTAATATATCAGACTTCCAGGGCACAAGACTGTACTCTAAGGAAAATTATCAGGGAGCCCTTCGATCTCCCAAGCATTTTAGCTGGGGTGCCCAGGCCTAAAAGATGGTCGCCCAAATGAAATCGTGGAGAAGCCCTTCGAGCTCCCAAACATTTTAGCCGGGGTGTCCGGGCCTCCAAGTTGGTCGCCCAAATTAATAAATCAGTGAGCTGTTAGTTGATTTCTAAAAATTTAGCACATTATTTTCTAAACAAGTCAAGCAGAACTTTGTGTTTTGACTTTTTATTTTCATGAAAAATTACATCCTTTGATCTACTGAGCGTGCGAAAAAACCCCGCATGTTGTCATGTGAAAGCAATGAAACCCATCAAAGTTTTTCGCGTCGTATAGGAAACAAGGACAACACCGCCATATATTTCAAATCCGTTTCATATTGTTTCAAATCCGTCTTTTGCTGGCAAACAATCACTCCCCTAAACTGGTCGCTGATTTTTATTCGTCATTTATACGAACCATACTTTTTACTCTTAGTTGTTAAAAAGCACAAGGTAATATTACGTTTCAGTCGAAGTACACTCTTGCTTATTCCCATCTTTGAAAGCAATTTTGTTCAGCTAATTAGCGAGGAAAATGACATTAAATTTTAGATTTTATCAGTTTGCATAACGTAGTAACGAAGTGGGCAAAAACTATAAACAAATAAAAATAAACACGCTTTTTTCCGAATAATGGTTCAAACTCAAGAATTAATTGAAGATCGCCAAAGTCTACTGCAGGTAATATTTTGCACTACACAAGTATATGAGAATGTATGGACAACCACATCGCCTTTATTCCACCTCGTTCAATTTTTTAAATGATGGCCATTTCTCTGGAAATGTGTTAGGCCATTTCCGAGTTCCCCCGGGCCTCTATTTCAAAACGAGGGTAGGTGCTCAGCCTTTGATATGGAAATCATTTTTCATTCTCATGCAAATAAAACTCATTTTCACAAGAAAGGTTGTGCACCTAGCCTCATTTTGAAAGTGAGAGTTTTTGGAACTCGGAAGTGGCCTATTCCAAAGAACTAGTTTTAAGTTAAAAAAAAAAAAGAAAAGAGAATTGTGGTCTGCTGTTCACTTCCCCTATAAAACATGACACATTTTGAACCGTAGTAGGGCAACAATGGCCACGGACAAAAAAGCGTAATGCATGTGTTGCTCAAGCTCCCTACTGTGTGAAGGCCCTCCAACCACCTCTGTTTTAAGAGTTTTCCACCGCTTAGAAATACTCTCACTTGCAGAAAGACGTTCCATGCTGTTCTCATGAACATACTTGAGTGGCCGCAAAACTCCTATAGGACCTGCAGGTCATGAAAATCCCATATTACCTTTCAGTCTTGGCTTAAAGGGACAAGTTCAGGATTCAGCGCATGCTCATTTATCAAAATGCTGTTTTTCTGCCGGGACATGCTGTATCGTCTATGCAAACAATATGATCATGTTATAATGTTGTCAAAGAACCAATATTCACACTCCCCTGGCAGTTACTTGCAGTTGATCAACTTTTAAATATTTGCAAATAGCTGTAAATTAATCAACCATGGAATGAAATCATCGGGTCAACAATAAACTCAACGTTGTTAGTGTTGGCATAATCCACTATTTTTTTCGGCGATTTTAGTACTCCTTCATCCTTCTTCAGGCTACTCTGAATACAATTCTACTTTGAAATACACTCTGAGATCGCTCAGATACATGTGAGTGGGATTATTAACTGATAGAATGAATAATAAATTGGAAAGAAGTAGTTTAATTAATAAGCATTCGCTTAACCGTGAACCTGTGCCTTTAAAGGCTTTTTGCTTTTCTTCCGACAACGTTTCTTGAAATAGCTGTATATAGCTGATTCAATAAAGGTTGCTTTGGGCATTGGGAATTGGGCATCAGAAATCTATTGTTTGGTGCTCACTCAAGTAAATCTTGCATTGTTCCATGTGAACGAATGACCAATCACCAAAGCAACCTTTTTTCATTTAGCTGTATATCATTGATTTCACTTCACTTCTCTCATTCGTCCTTCAGGTAGCCTCCCACGCAGGCGTTTTAGGGGAGCTCTAGCCTGTGTGGCAGGCATTGAAAGGGGAAAGGGAAGAGGGAATTTGGCCGCGAGAGTGCGCGACAGAGAAAGGAAAGGAACCTCCCCTCCTCCATCGCTCGCGGTCTCGCGCCCTCACTTTCCTTCCCCTTCCCTTTCGAAAGCCTGCCACGCAGGCTAGGGGAGCTCCTATTTCGTCCCTCCCCACAAACGCCTGCTCAACCGAGGACAACATTCCTTTCCCAAGCTTAGCCAATCGGTTACTCGCCTGACTGTCTGCTAACAGAAATATTATAAATATTAATAAGCCTGCTGACAATATTATTAAAAATGCGTCTGTTGATGGCATTTTAACAGTGTTGCAGTTCTTTCTGTGTTTTGCTCTCTGCAGTGCAGGCGTTTTTTTCGGGCGCGCGAATGTTTAGCTCGCGAAAGGGCCACACCCTAAGGGTTACTAGTTTTACTCTCCCTAATTTTCCTGCGTCATAACATCAAAGATCCCTTCTAAGGGAGCGGAACGTTTATTTTAGGCCGTTAAGAGGCCTAGCGAGCTACGAAGTCGCCAGTAACAAATTCTAGTTTTTTGTCTTTAAATCAAGAAACCAACACCAGCATGTCGCCCGGCTGGACAATATTTTCAGTCGCCCGAGGCCAGGACTTAGTCGCCTCAGGCGACCGGGCGCCGTAAGTTAGAGCATGGCCCTGATTTTTCCCATTTTACTGCCATATATGGGCTATATAGGTATGTGCCGCTGTGAAGGGTATGGTTTCTAAGCAGTTTATTCTAGGATAGGGAATATAAATCAGAGCGTTTGGGTCTAGAATAGGGTATCATTTTTCACGAAACTGATCAGTTGGTTGAAGATTTTATCTAGACTAGGGAGTGTGGTATAAGGTTTTGTTTTGGCTAGACTGTGCTAGTGACCTCAGTAGTTTCTGGAAAACAGCTGCTCTAGGATAGGGGGGATTTGGGGAGTTTACTCTGGTATAGGGTAGCAAAATTCAGCTGAACTAGCTCTGGTATAGGTTAAGAGTTCCAGGGTACCAGCGGCACATCCTCACCCAGAAATTCCTAAAGTACCCCCCCCCCCCCCCCCCGGATTTTTCTCCCCCCCCCCCCCAACCATCTTTTTTCCCCCTTTTTTTTTCCGCGGATTTTTTTTTTTTTTTTTTTTTTCCCCCACGTTCTCCCTATTTTTGATATTGGGCCCCAAAAAAACACCAAAATTTTTTCTAGGGCGCCGGGGCTGGGGAAATTCTAAAAAAAAAAAAATTTTTTTTCACACAAAAAAAAAAACAGTAGTTTGTGGAAAACAACGGCTTCAGGAGAGGGGGGGTTTTGGGGGGATACTCTTGTATTGGGTAGCAAAAATACGCTGAACTAGCTCCTGTATAGGGTAAGAGTTCCAGGGGACCAGCGGCACCACCTCACCCCAAAATTCCTAAAGTACCCCCCCCCCCGCCCGAGGATTTTGTCCTCCCCTACGCAGTAAGCTTACTTTTCCCTCTTTTGCTGTCGCAGTATCTTTTTTCTGCTTGTGTAATCCAACCTGACTTGCACATGATTCGAAGTTGCAGCCAATAACAATCACGCAATTTTCGGAACGGGCACGGGATACGGGAAAGTTCAAAAACAAAATAATTTTTGACTCCCAAGAATAATACGAAAGGAATGCGCTCCCGAATTTATGACGCGGGATGGTAATAATTAAACGTTATTTCGTATCAGTTTATTTCGTAAAACTTAAACAGCAGCCTGTAGCAAGAGTATTAGATATAAATATTTGAACGAACAATTCCCACCAGAGAATAAAAAAGGACTGATTTTAATTTGGTAAACAAAGGCAACACAAAGATTTTAACCAAAAATAATGACACCCCTCCCCCTGACCCCGTCCCCTCCCCCGAAAAATGACTACCTAGTTTTAAATCAGTGTTGTAAAATGAAGATGAATTAAGATGAAATTTACCAAAAAAGAATCTCCTTAATAGTAACTTAAACATGACAGTCAAGCTTGTTTGAAAAGGCACCCTAGAAACTGATAAAATAACGTATTAAGGTTAATCAAAGTGATGTTAATGTCGATGTCCAGTAGCTACGGACACAGCTTGTTCAATACTGAACAAGCACTTAGATTAAACTATTTTTGGAGAATACCATCTAAAGATAAGCTTGACTGGAAATCAAATCAATGTCAAAAAAAAAAGATACTAGCTACGTGAAAACCGCTAGTGAATCATGAGCATCAATAACATGGTCATGGTAATTTGAAAGGAAAGGAAAAGCCTTGAATTCCAAGCGATTTCCGCATTTGACAGGCTACGAAAGCCTTCACCTGTAGTGAAAGACCACACATCACCCTTGTGTATCTCGGATGGGCTCACTTCAGCATCAACACGCCAGAAATACTTGGTTTGGGGATCCAGAACTCTCTTTAGATAGAAAACGTTGCTCTCGTTTTCAACCAATCCAAGGTACTCTGGTGAGTCATGCGTGGCTCTGCTCACCCCCTCCCTGCTAGTGCCAAAATATACCCGATGAATGGAAGCCCCATAAGCATTCAGCCACATCAAAGTGTCCCTCCTGTCAGGCTTGACGTTCACACCGTTATCCGGGGGGACAGGAGTGCTTGCCTTGTAAAGTTGACGCCCTGGAATCCAGTAGTGCGTCAACTTTGGATCATAACTATACGGACCAGCGCCATGCAGTAGGTACGACGAATTGGACAAAGGACGAAAATCAAAGTTATCTGGATCAACAAGCTGCTTGCTGACATTTGAAATTACATTAAACTTGACAACGCGTCCGGCCAGCGGGTATACCTTCCCTCCATGAACTCCGCCGTTCCCCACATCAGCGGCATTGTACATGACAACAGTGCCATTGTTGATGGGCACGGGGTTTTCACGCACATATCGCAAGACGCATAGAGCGCATTTTGCTCCTTGGTGATCGCCTTTCTTTTCGTGCCATTTATTAAAGACCAGATTATGCAGAACTGTGTGGTTGTCCCCTTTCACCATCATTCCTCCACATTTCCACACCACATTGCTGCGCATGCTCCCATTGCTTCCAATGTTGGGCGGTTGCCCGTCAAACCGCAGTCCATATTTGGGACTTGAGTGCACCCAGTTTTGCTCCAACAGAGCCTGCTTCTGCGGTCCTATCGTTGTCTGCACGTGACTACCGTCATTCTGTAAAGTAACAAGTACGCCCGGTTTTGAAAGAACTAATAGCTCTAAATGTTTTACTTAGTGCATACAATGTATTAATAGATGAATAATTTCCTACAAACACTGCAATAGGCTTAATTCTTTTCGAGGTACAACCTTGTGAAGCAAAGAAATTCATGGTAAAAAACGCTCAGCTTCATTTCTCTACAGTTAAATCTATAACCATCCCTAATCTAGCCTGAGAAGATAGCCGACATTTTGCGACGTCACCACTGATTTTCACGCGAAATGACGTCTGAAGAACTTTCTGCAGAGATTCCATGCTGATGTCACTGATTGATCGTGGCGCGAGGGAAATTTTGCTTCAACCAATCAGGGCTCGTTTCCTCGAAAGATGGTTAAACTAAACCAAAGATTAAGCCAACACCTTTTTAATTCCACATTCAAACAATATTTCATGGCCGCTCCAAACACAATCGAGAAATGATAAGGACAGAGTCTATTCCACGACACTATTTTTTTTTTTCAATCAAAGTTGCAAATTGAGCGATAGTCTTTAAAAGAGTGAATATAGTTTGTTTTCATTTACCTGTATAAGTCCCCAACACTGATGATGAAGATGGTTTAGACGAACTATGGGTCGCAGGCCAGGTCTGATTCCACTACTTGCTCCATTAAATCTTAGCGTGTTTCTTATAAATACGTCGCCTACTCCACCGGAAATGATGGTGCCTATTCCACCACTCTGATACACCATATTGGCTGCTGTCCAGTCGTTATACTCAAACAAATTGTTAGCAAGAGTCACGTTTAACCCGCTATACTCCAACACGGCTCCGTCGGTTCCAAAGAAAGTGTTGTTGAAAAACGTCAGCGTGTTAAGCCCCTTCCTTTTGTTATTTGCCCTCACTGTGGTCCACAGTGCCGGTGCTGTCTCTTGAAGCATTCGTCGTGTGTATGAAGGGTAGCTAAAGTTGAGCGAATGGAAGGTCAGGTTGTTGATAAAGTTGTTGTTGATGTTCAAAGTAGAAGCCCATAGCGTTGTGCCAAACAAGGTTAGTTTTTGAAAAATCACGTGGCTACAATTGGTGATGTTAAATGCATACGACATCACTTTGGCCCTGACTTCATGTCCCTCGGGGGATTTGCCATTAGGTGTCATGACGTAAACTGTGCGCGTTGTTTTGTCATAAAACCATTCTTCAGGTTGATCAAGAAACTCTAACTTATCTTCCAGAAAATACTGATTTATATAAGGTTTAAACTTGATGGGACCGAATTTATCATGATAAGTGAAGGCTGGAGTACCAGGTGTGTGGCTTTCAACAATGGCTGTAAAGGTGTTAAAGCTTCCAATGTTAAGAATCGCCATGGCCCCAGTGGCGTTCAAGCCACTTCCTGCCAAGTTCTTCGAGCCGTTATCAACCATAACGCCCCTTGTGGACGCTTTGGATGATTTCGCCCAGTAGCTAGAGTTGAAAACTGTTTTGTCGGACCAGAGTGCGTTTGGCCAGCGGGCATTGGTCATCATCTGACCGTCGACGAATAACTGCCAGATATCCTGATCTATGACCGCCTTGTATGCACCACTATCATCCCTCACCCACCCTCCCTTGGGCTCAAGCTGAACGGTTCCATCGACGATTGGGTAATCATCTTCAAGGCCCCGGATGATTATGGGTTTGTCGGGAGTACCATGCTTGTTATTGACGGTCACGTGTTCATGGTAGCGTCCACCGGGAATAACGCATTCGTCTCCAGGTTCATTCAGGTTATCAATACAAGATTGTATGCTGGTAAAAGGAGTAGGACGCTGCTGCACATTCACAGAATTGCCATAAACATTTTTTAGTGAGGAAAAACAAACGAGAACTATAAACTTCACCAAGGACTGACTTGCAACTTGAACCATGTTGTCCTGTGAAAAGATAGATATAACGCAATCTTGATATATTTTTTATTTGACTTTGGTGTGCTAAAACTTGGACGATAACAACGCCAGGCTACTTTCTAGGGATTGTTGCGAGATGACAACTTAAGAGAACGTGCACGTTGGAGGCTAATTAATTGTATAGCCTGCGTATCGGGAGCCGTTTTTGTACGTTCAATGGGAGAAATTTCGACGCGCGAGCACACGAGTGTTTCCCTCGCGTGCCTAGAGCGCCCTAAAATTAATAAAAAACAAACGAACGGAAAACCGACGCGTGCAAGGCATAGGTATGGTGTACCAGGGCCGTGCGGTGCGCCTTGGCAGATGTAGAAGGAGATGTGGACTTGCCAAGTCGACTACAAAATTAAGGTGCTCGCGAGGACAGGCTTTCACTCGGAGAAAGTCTACTGGAAATGTAGTCTACCGCGGCCATAAGGAAGGAACGCGGAGAGAAAGTTGTTTTTACTCTTTCTGCCAGCTTGAGCAAGACCTATGTACGTGTGTGCTTTTCCATTCGCTGTAAATACTGCCTGAGCGAAGTACTCTGGAAATAATGGCGCGGAGCTCTTCGGAAAATTCCAAAAAAATACCCCATCTGGTTTTGTGGGCGAGGCTCATTTACCCCCAAGGGTTACCAAAAAATTACTGAGCTGAATAACAAGTAGTTTAAATACACCTTAGTTTTTCGGCTCACCAAATAACTGCGACAATATACCATGGCGGTACAGATTTTAAAAGGAACCCACAAATTGTACTCCTCAAAAGTGTGATGTGAACCTGTTTTATTTTTAGTAGGGTAGTAGAATGCGGAGATCTTTCCTCGTTGACCTGTATCAAAAAGGCTTTTGGTGATTAAGACTCTAATATCAAAATAAATATTTATTTCTGTTCCTATATCGGCCATAAGCCTTCGCGTAAAAAGAGTCACCGAGTCCAAGGATTAAGATTTCTTAAAGGGTTTTCCTGTAAAGACTGTATAATGAAATGTTACAAGTCTTATGAAATATAAGGATCGGAGAATCGTGACTGTACAGTGATTTTCCGTTCTCCTCTTGCTTCTGTCCACTTTTAATAAGTCCTGTCTACATTTAAAAACATGTTAATTTGCTCACCTTTTAGTCACAGACAAGAGTCAAAATTGCAAATCTTTCTTTTCCTCTTCAGTTTATGCAGTCTCTCTGTGGAATTATGTGATGTGTGATGAGGTAGGAAGCACTGCAGACAGTTGTCACCGTTACTGTCACGCGACTTCGGCTGAGTCATAAAAAGTCCCTAAGGGACGGACCATTAGAAAACTTATGAGGGGGGGGGGGGGCGGGGGACAAAAAAAGTATTCGCGCAAGGGAAAATGAAATGAAAAAAATTCATGCAGGCTAATTAAAACTAAAAAGTATTCATACATGGAATTTGATAGCGAAAAACAATTCCTGCGGCTCGAAAATTCCCCTCCCCCCCATAACTTTTCTAATGGTCCGTCCCTAAAGTTCGGTGAAGGTGACACTTTGCGATGTCGCAAGATTCTTGTCGCCTGTCAGAATTTTGAGCACTGATTTACAGCAGGGGCATGCTGTGATGTATAACTCAAACACTCCCCGAAAGTTTATTTTCGCCAGAAAAGGAATTAAAAACATATTGTCATCTAGAAAATCTTAAGACTAATGTTTCTTTAGGGCCAAGAACGTTGAAACATACCTTTGTAAGGGTGAATGTACAAGAAAAGTTAAAGAAAATTCAGGGTGATTGAACTTAGCCCCCTAAGGAGTGTGCATGTGATTTCTCCATTTTTGTAAGTCCCCAAGAGTGATCAACATCAACTTTCTCCTAACAACATCGACACATTATCAAGAGAAAGCTTTATGAGAATCAAAAAAATATAATCTAAGAGAAAATGTTTTGATCTTTGATAAAATTCTCCATCTTATTCTAGGGAGATGAATGAGTAATGAGTAACCAGTCTGGAGAAATTGTATGTCAGTAAATGCACAGTAAGATTAGACACACTACTTATAGACATCTTTGTCATTTTCTTGATTTCTTTAAACACAGGGTAACAGCAAACTTTGTCGAAGGTAAACCTGTTTACACCGATTTTAATTAAGTCTACTTCTCTCTGTAGTATTTGCAAAGGTGCAGAGCTTTCTAAAAAGTATGTGATTGTATATAGTGAAAGTGCATAATTCATGCACAAGTGAGAAGCCAGATTTTAAGAATTTTTCTAATGAATTACTAAATTTCAATCTATGGTTGAATTTAACCTTTTAAGGTTAATTGACCTTAAAGCAAAAAAATGTATAAGAATTTGAAAGTTGTTAAAGCTAAATTAGGTGACATAATTTTTGAGACTGATCCAGTACATATTAGTTATGTTGTAAAGGAAGAGTTCAAAATTCATGTGATCAGTACTTCCAATTTTTCTAAAAGTCATTTCTATAATGTATTATCCTTCCTGGGGAAAATAAGAACTTGTCAAAGACCCTAGATGGCCTAAATCTGTGCCAATTAACATCAATGTAAGCACCTGTTTAGGCTAACTTAAAAAAAATTCAGGTTCTTAGTTGCAGGTTTTTACTGTAATCTAAGACTTTCAGTTTAAGTGCAAGATTCCTCATAACATTTACAGCAATACATTATTGTATTAGCTAGTGCAGTACATTATGCTGTAGTCCAAAAATGTTTAACTAAGAGAGACACATCTTATCTTAACCTTTTCACTCATAAATAATGAAAACTAACTGCCACCAATTGGAAACTTAAGCTCCTGCAGAGGCATTCTTAGAAATTTATCACGCATTCCTGCCTCACGAATTTGTGAGGCAAGAACGCATGACAAAGAACATCTAAGATTAAATTATCTGTGAAAGAGGCTACACGAAACTCTTTGGAAGAGGTCTTATTTGATAAGTCAGACCATAGCTGTTTTTTTATTCCACAAACTATGTATGGAGTGAATGGCATAAAGTCAAAGTACTGTAAATGAGATTTCATTTGAATGGTCCAACCAAAGGAATTTCCTCAAAGAATCCAAAGTTTGGACTCACTTCATCTTAAGCCTAAATACACACACACAAATTCTCCAAACTGATCTCTATACATTTCATTAAAGAATGTGTTAAGAGAATTCGGTAAAAGATCACGGCATTTTCTCTATGGTGATCATTTTATTAATTCTCATTACCTAGTCTTTTGACAACGTATAGATATCAGTAGAAGAAAATTGATGTTGGTCACCATTGGGACTTAAAAGGATAACAGATTCTAGGAATGAATGTTTTAACTATCTAACAATAATTTAAGTGAGAATTATAAAACATTACCAGTGCAAAAATGTTCAATTCATTTACCTACATTTTTCTAACAATACAAAATTGTTGCACAAGAGTCACAGTCAGGTACAACTTTTTTACATATTTTAAGTTACCTGTTTAAATAACAAACTACAGAGGGGCCATACAAATTGTGTGGCTGTCTGCTTATTTTAAAAGTAAGAACATACGTATGGGAATGAAATTATTTATCAAAATTCTAGCAATGGGGACTGCCACTAAATTGGGTGAAACAAAAAAAACCCGTCAAAACATTTAAGGGGCTGTGTCATGGCAGTCCAGTTCATTTTGTTTAATTTTGCCAGTTACTCGCCCTCAATCGCTATGGAACTTAAAGTAAGCAAAGAAATTACTTGTAAATGACACAAGCAGAGATTTGAGACAAACAAATATGTCTCCTGAGCATTTTTTGAAGTTGCAAGCAGCAGGGATCACCTTTGAAAAACTGTTAGGCTGAACAGTTTTCAAAAACCCTAATTTCAATCGGTTTCAATCTTCTTCACTTTTGCCCATCCGTGGCATCTGTTGTATCTGTTGTGTTATTTTAATTAACCTTAATCCTTCAATGTTTTAAGCGGTTATTTTTACGTTTCTCTTTCATAAGAAAGTGTAATAGAGTTCTTAAGTGACAACATCATAAAAATTAAATTTTCAAATAATTTATGGAATTTGTTGGGATATTTTGCAACAACAACATCTGAAAGGCCTACTTGCCAAAAACTAGCATTTGTGAGGCAAACTGTCTGGGAGATACTTATTCCGTTTTGCTTTTAGACCCCATACAAATCCTTCTAAATTTGACTCGGTTCCTAATGTGTGGAGTCATCAGAGCATAACTGGGCTAATATCTCGAAGACAATTTGCCCTGGAATGCTGATTTTTGGTAAGTGGGCCTTTTGGATGTTGATCTTTCATAATATCCAGGAAAATCCCATAATTTCACAAATATAATTTTTTATGACGTCACACTTTATTCTATTGGCACTATTGGCAATGTTAACAAAATGAACTAGACAACCGTGAACCAGCTCTTTTAACCATCACACCCTGGCCCTTCAGAGTACATTTGAATCACCTTATTCTGGAATCCACAACATTGATTCAATTGACTTGCTATGCCAATTCCAGAATACTGTGAGTGGCATATATTCCAAACATTCTGTACCAGGTGGCAGAATGCTTAGAATGAAATGCAATGATAGCATGATCATTTTTCTTGTGTCACAGCTGGTTCACAACAGCAAAGAAACAGGTGAACTTCATTGGTGACAATGAAATAAAAAATTCAATGCAGTTATCAGTGTTTGGACAGAGAGGACAGACAGGCATTGGTGCGGCATATGAATTTTCCTGCACCTTTTTGGTCAAATTCCTGATCCTGGGGATGGGAGAACAGTTTAAAATGTGATAAACTATCCCTCTCTAAGCTTAACAAAATTGCAGTTTGGGGAAAAATTTAGGGTAAAAGTCCCCAGAGAGGGACAAAGAAAGTGTTGTGTCCCACCTATCCACCTATACCCATACCTCCCTCTCCGTTTAAACATTGATACGTGCATTATGTGTGAGATGTGTACAGAGAGGAAACTATTTAGCATGGAGCCTATAGTTTGTTCCGAAATTTCTCAGCACTACAGCACTACACATTGCATATCATTTTCACATATCTTTGCTTTCTTCCGGATATGTCTTCTTAAAGTTTGTCCCATCTCCTGGCAAAGGTGAGCTTACTGTGGGCCAGATCCAAGCTAAATACCACCTTTCGCCAAACACTTCAATAAAGTTCCTTCTCCATCCGCGATCGTACTCTCTCTTCTTCTTTTTACGCTCGTATGATGTTTGTCCTTTAAAAATGATACCAGTTTGAAAGAAGAGCATGGCAGTAAAAAGTAGCAGCGCAAAGACTGAAATGCCAGCCATAAAGGAAACGAAAATTCCGTAAACGGAGGTGTAGCCCAACAACCAGATAACAACAGGGGTGACCATTGTTAGCAAAGTCCAAAAGCCAACGCCGCCGATTTCATCTGTGACATAATCATGGTGGAAAACATTAGCATAAACAGCTCCCATCCAAAGATACAGTGCAAGAAACATGTAATAACGATAGTTTCTAAAACCGACGCATCTGCCGGCGAAAACGCAATGATGGTCTCTCTTCAAGACGCACTCATCGCAGATCTGACAATGATGGGCTCTCGGTGGAGCGTTTAGCTGGCAGAAAGGACAATATGTCCACCCTGGCTTGAGAACCGAAGGCATTCCTAGCTTCTTTCCTGTTGTATCGGTGGTTATGAGCATGAAAAAGTTGGCGAACACGTTCAGCCACAAAAAGAATCCACAGACCACATGTATACAATACCATGATGAGAATGGATCGTGGTAGATCGGTAGCACAATAAACAGCTCAAACAGCGCTATTGCCCATAACATTGCGATCATAAACACAAATGCCAAGAATTCAGAGGGCTTTTTAGGCTTAAGGCCTTCAAAGAAGCTCTTATTGGCCTGGTCGTCCATGCTGTTTGGATCAGATCAGACGCCTTCCCTACAACATTGTAACCGCTCCTGTGTTATATTTCCGTGAAGGGCTGGGCTAGGCAAAGGTAGTATGGGCGCACCTCACCTGCTACGCTAGCCTGCGAAAACATCCGTTTCTCCTCGTTCTTCGCCGCCGGGGACGTTTCGCGAAACGCGCCAAACTTTCTACCTAACACGGAACTGGAGGCGTCGAAAGCTGATGGGTGGTGTGGTCCAGGCGGGCGTCGAAATAGGTCAGTGGGATGTTGGAAATTCTTATAAAATGGAGGGGAAGGCAGGGGCCAGTTGGGGTGGGATTTTCTCTAGTCTCCGTTCTTGTCACGCAACGATCTCACCCGAGTTTCCTTCTCCCCTTTGTTGTTTTTCTCTACCCTCTCTCTTTTTCATCTTCGGAGACCCAGGGGCAGATAGTGCGGCCGAGGAAAATGCGAAACGGGCGGAAAAAAATGGCGCGAAGAATAGACTCCGAAGATGTTTCTCTTTTCGCCTGCCATGCAGGCTATCACACGTAGATATTACACCAGTGTGCGACTGTGATATAATTATTCATAAAAATACTGAGTAATTTATGACATGTTACAAATATTTAGTGTCAGGCATCCTATTACAAAAGACTATCCAACTTTGCTCCCTTATTTGACTTATTTTAGATGATTTCTTCACATATTTCTTCGAATAATACAACTATTAAAATCTCTGATGTCGAACGGGTAAACTTCCAGAAACTGGGGGTTGGAAAGACTGGAAAGACAGAGCACGTACTGGAGAATACGCTGAACGTGTTTTTTGTCAGCTGATTTAAGATTTTATAGTTAGTTTATTATTTCGTTACAATAGACATCATTTTGCTATAATCAGGCCTTTTTTCCCAAGTATCATAGCCCAGCTGTTTCATGATAGGGGCAATTCTGTCCGTATGCTCCAGCAAAGCAGGCGGTAACTTGTGGCACCACTTGTAAAGAGCATTAACATTTATGGCTTCTTTTACTTGATCTGTTGACTTCTCAAGGCTGAAGCAAGAAAAGAAATACATTGATCTCAGCATTAAAGTAGTGTAAAGACAAGAACGTGTCTACTTTTTGAAGCAGTGAATAGGCATCCGTCTAGATCTGCCATCCTATCCATCTTTGAATGGGAGCCGTTTATCAATGTTTCATCATCATCATCATCATCATCATCAACATCATCATTGATTTAAATCATCCTAATCATCGTCATCATTATTGTACATCATTTAAAAGTTTCATCCACGCAGACATGGAAGAGATTTGCAAATATCATAATGCCAACACATAAACGTTCTCCCTCATTATTATTATTATTATTATTATTATTATTATTATTATTATTATTATTATTATTATTATTATTTTAATTACTTTTCTGGGGAAGGGGAAGAATTGAATTATAATTACAACTGAAGCTTACCGTGAAAGGATAACTCCGCCAGGTTTTCCGATCTCAGTTTGATGGTGCAAAACCACATCGTTCCAAATAACATCTAAAAATTCTAAGACAATTTTCATACTCCGCGATGGAAACAATACCAGATGTTCATAAGGAATTCTCAGACATCTGTCTTTCCCCAGCACTTCGCATTGTGCATTCATATTTCTCACAGCCACATTCCAAGATCTTAGCAAAACTTCAAGGTCGTAATTTTCAATACTGCGAGGCCTGTACAACCCTCTAATTCCAATTTTTCTCTCTATGATAGAGTTGAGCACTGCACGACCGTCTCGAATCATGAAAATGAACTTTGCGTTAGGAAACAGTCTGGCTAAATAACTAAGATTCCTGAAGGTTAGAGGGTCTTTATTGCATAATCTTGGAGCTGGATCGCCGTGCTTTGCTATAATCTCTGCTATGAGAGCCGCAACTGCAGAATCTAAGAGGTCTTGGGTGACGCCAGCTTCTTCTCGACGAGTAGTTTCAGCTTCGCTGAACACATTAAACATTCTGGGAATATTAAGCAGAATTTTTGGAATGACCCTTGTTTCTTGTCCGCATCTGATATCCGGATGTGCGTCCAACATGGCCCGCATCAACGTTGTTCCACTCCTGGGAAAACCACCTACAAAAATAAACGGCGTATAACGATCCACGTGGTCTCTTCTCGGCTCCTCGTAAACTTTTGTCGTCGACGCCGCAGTCGCGAAATCCTGGCGTTCTTCATTCCGACACTTAAACAAAGATAACAGCTTTGAACTGAAGAGGGTCATTAAAGTTATTACACAGACGCACAAGAGCGCAAAACACTTCGCAACTATTCGTTGAGAAATAAACATAGCGAAACACGTTACGATATTATCATGACCGGCTCCTTAGATCAGCTTGAGATTGCGGTAGCCCACGTTTACGCCATTCGCAAAAGTTAGTTGGAAAATGATGACCGGAGGTGTCAGTGAGATAACCTGGAATTGCGGTGTTGAAATCTTCGTAATTATCACTCTCCATTTCAAAATTTACTGTCTAAAATGGGTAGCTATGGTAATTCAGTGTAACTTCAATAATTTATAACACGCCTCAACGCACCAAAATGAAACTCTGAACTAACAAAAAAAAACGGTCTTTATTTATTATCGATCTTTGTCCTCTGTTTTATTATTGCCCTGCCAATCTTACACTTTTGTCTCTAATCTTTAAAATATTAGATCTGAGAGTTTTTGTCAAATCTCACAAACTCAAGGGTATGCCTTCTGTATCAGGTTTAAACTGCTAAAGCCGTTAGCTCGAGCAGCCTTCACGCGTTAACAGCCGCATCAAAAGTTTATTTGTTTTCATACAAAGCGCCCGCTAAGACTTGCAGGTCCACCTGCCTAGATGAGGCAGGTGGATAGAAGCCCATGGGATCTGATTTTAAAGTGGAGAAGGGTAAATCGAGCTTTATTTTTAGAAGGTTTTGGTCTCTGCGGAGAAAATGAATTCAAAGACTCAAGGCAACCAAAAAATGTCTAAAATTCTGATGGTGGTGACTTGAGAGTGGGCGAGGGTGGAGGAAAAAGTAGCTGTTCGTCCAACCTGATGCCTCCTGGCTGGCCTCGTCTCCAGTGCGACCGTTGATACAAGGGAGGGAGTGGAGATAATCTAGATGTCACATGGTCTACTTTTTTGTGGCCATTTTGAATACAAATACCTGGTGGAGACAACCATTATGCCGGCTCCTTGACAAATAAACCATTTCCAAATTGCTCAAAGCTACTGTTACAAAGCGAGGGTAAGTGCGAAGGCGTGCTAAGGGCTGAGTTTCGCCACCATCGATAACCTGCGATCAGGCTCGATCAGGCCGTCCTATTCCCATTTTGTGAACGCCTGATTTCAGGTTACGCGATCAAGGTCATGAAAAGGAAGTCCCATTTCCGTCAAAAAAGTGCAAAGTAATAAGACTATATATAATTCACTGTATTTTATTGCAAAATTTGATATCGCATTTATTGAGATAATGCTATCTTAGTATCATTATTCTCTGTATTGGATTGAATAATCCTTTCCACATGCGTAAACTTTAAGTTCCGCTAAACATACACGAGCCTCTCTACTACTTCCAGTTATAGCTGGTATTTATTTTTGTTAAAAAAGGGGCACTAAAAGGTGTCAAACTCTCAACACTGAAATATTAGTTTAATTACCCTATCACATCTTAATTAAAAGTGGCAGACAAAATCTTGCCATAACTTGGTCAAAGAGTGAAGGAGTTACATGTAAAACTGAAAAAGACAAATCACATTTTACACCTGTGGACCAATAGGCTAGTCACAAATAAAATTATTGTAATAAATATTTCATATCAATTTTTTCTACATCATATGTACGTATTAAAGTAACAGGCCATTTCCGAGTTCCTCCGGGCCTCTGTATGAAAACGAGGTTAAGTGCTCAGCCTTTCATATGGAAATAATTTCTCATTCTCATCCGGCAAATAAAACTCATTTTCACAAGAAATGTTGTGCATGCACTTGGCCTCGTTTCGAAAGTGAGGGTGTTTGGAACTCGGAAGTGGCCTATAAAATAGAATTCTGGGCCCAGTTGTTCGCACGCCGGTTAGCGCTAACCCGGGGTTAAATTTTAAACCTGATTTCTTTTCATCTTTTTAGAGTATCCAATCAAAGAGAATTAAACTCATATATCTGAGTTCAAATTTCGCACCAACCGTGGGTTATCTTTACCCAGCTTCGCACAACCCGGCCCTGGCGGTTATGATATATAATTCATGTTGTGCAACAACCTTATCACGAATTCTATTTACCCCCTCTGATTTTGGGGTGTTTTTTTTGTCGCACTGTTGCATGTGCAAAAAACACGACTGTACACTATTTTGAAATCTTTTTTAAATTTCTTTATCGGGGAAATCAAAATTCCAGTTCTGATATTCCAGTCAATTACTAGTCTCCCCCTTCTGTAGCCTTATTCTTAATAAATTTCACGCTAATATCACTGCATATGAGAACGTGGCCTGCGTAGCAAGCGTTTCCAATAAATTATTGCCCGATAGCTGGAGAGAGAGCAAAACAACCATGTTTCTCGACAAATTCGCGCGGAAACGCTTGCTACGCAGGCCAATGAGAAAGCAGTTCATTCATGAAGGATCCAGGTCTTAGTATCTTCAGCTTTTGACGGTGCCCATTTTTGGCCAGTTTTCCAGGACAAGACGTTATTTTGGTGCAATTTTAAAAGCTTTCAAACTAGAATTTCTTTTTTTCTGGAATAGCCAAAATCCAAGAGTAATAGTGAAAATTAGTACGATTAAGGTAAACATCACTCTGGGCCGGGTTGTTCGAAGCTGGGTAAAGGTAACCCAGGGTTAGTGCGAAATTTGAACTCAGATATGAGAGCTTAAAAAGAAAATTCAGTTTAATTCTCTTTGCCTACAATTTGATGACTGGATACTCTAAAAAGAATAGAGAAAACTATCCGATAGTGTGCTTTTGATAAAAAGAAAAAGAAACCTGGGTTAAAATTTAACCCTGAGTTACCGCAAACCAGCGTTCGAACAACTGGGCCCTGAAATACAGCAGTATAAAACTAACAAAATGAAATTGATATCTTCCGGATATTATGTACTCTTATATGATATGATAATCAAATCAAATAAATTGTTATGTTCAAAATGACTTTACACCGAAGTACAAATAAGATAAATATATCAAACTGTTCTGTGAATAAATTTTCTTTGTGGTTATAATATTAATACAAATAACATGGTTTCTTTTTATAATGAATCTTAAATTGGTAAATCCAGAATACCTAAAATGAGTAATCAAGTTGATCCAATATACTTATATACTATGAGCTATTGACTCAGAGCCCATTCGGGCTTGAGGAATAATTGTTAAATATCTAATCAAGCTTGTTATATAATCAGTTAAGTTTACTTAATGTGAGCCCCCTAAAACTGGTGCATTCCCAGTCTCCCTTGGCGTTTAACACTTACATACTGTACAGTGGAAGATCCCCTAACAGACACTCTCGTATAAGCAGACAGCTCTACTTACAGCTGCCAACAGCCCCAACCCCCCCCCCCCCCCCCCCCCCCCCCCCCCCCCCCCCCCCCCCCCCCCCCCCCCTCTTCCCCTCTCCCCCCTCCCCCCCCCCCCCGCCGTCCCGTCTTTTCTCCCCTTCCGTCTGGCGCCCCCGCCTAATGACACACCTACCTTCTCTTTTTCCCTCTCACCTACTTCACTTGTTGTTTGGGACTCGACGACCTGCCATCCCCTCACCCGCTCTTTAAATCAACCTTTTTATATAATCTGTTAAGTTTCCTTAATTTGAGCCCCCCAAAACTGGGGCATCCCCAGCCCCCCTTGGCGTTTAACACTTACATACTGTACAGGGGAAAATCCCCCAACAGAAACCCCCGTATAAGCAGACAGCTATATTTACACCTGCCAACAGCCCCAACCCCCCCCCCCCCCGCGCATTTATCCCCACTCCCATACAACCACTGTATTTTTACACTCTCGTGAGTGGCCAGCTCCAGTGGTGGACACTTTTTTCACACCTTGAGGGCGTTCACATACAAGAGTTTCCACTGTAGCTAGTTTGCTGGCCAAACATGTAATTGGTGTGGAGCACATGGCCAACTGTTCCATGCAGTCCACATGGAGTTTTGACTCCACTGTTTACACATTCAAAGTCGCAATAGTGTACAATGCTCCCTGCGCATTACACAAAGTTGCCAAAATCGAGTTAACATTTCTCTGTTAGTAATGTTCGACTACTGATTTTACAGACACCATAATGCAATAGTCTAACATTTAATGAATGTCAAGCAGAGTTTTAGCCATGAATTTATAGGTGACATCCACCTCAACTCTCGCACCAGCAGCTCTGAAACCATGTCAAAAATATATACATGTATTTTGTCCACCAAAAACTGGACATGCAAGAATACCCAGATGCTACCTGACAGAAATTAACCTTAAAAAACAACAGACATTTTGCGGTGTTGTCACTGGTTTCCCTGCGAAATGATGTCTGAGGAGCAAGCACAGAAATTCTACACTAAAGACATGTCACTATCCAGACCTGGGCACTGGCTTCTGATAGGTTGAAGTAAATTTCCCATGTAGCAAGACCAGTCAGAAGCACTAGTAACCCAGATCAGGGTAGTGACGCGTCATCAGTATAGAATGTCTGTGCTTGTTCCTCAGACATCATTTCGCAGGGAAACAAGTGGTGGTGTTGCAAAATACTGGCTGATTTCTCAAGCTAGACTGAAATCTTGGTGTAAAGACATATTACAATAACATGGTGAAGCCTCATGGCAGACTGTAGTTACATTTCCAAAATAGATATAAAATAGATAAATTTTCTCACTGAACCAGTAAAGGTATCTGTGGTGTCTTGCAGGGTCTCACCCAAAACATTAGAAGATTTTATTTCCTTTCTTTGGCCCAAAGCCATTTTTCCCTGCAGCCTTGTTGTTGAACAAGTCACGAATGAGAGCAGATTTCTCATTTTCCAGCTGAGTGATTTTGCTGCCCTTGTCAGCAACCTCCTGAAAACAATAAAAATGAGTCATGGTTAAGTATTGCTGAGGTGTCACAAATTTCAGTGACAGAGGAACCTCCGACAGGAAAAAGGCAATATACATTGTACAAGTAGCCCGCAAAAGCAGTTGTACAGGATTCTACTCTTTTTCAGGCCTTCAAGAACTTTTCAAAGACCCTGCTTTGAAATTGTCAGGACCTTTTTTGAGAGCTCATGCAGAAATGCTAGAAAATGAGATCTTGAATTATGACAACACTTGCAGACCATGGACACACAAAGTGCACTTTTGGATCAGTCTAGTTTTGCATAAGAGCAACAAGTGAGCACTGGGAACAGTTGAACACATGCCTTGCATAATTTTGCAAGCATTTATTCTGCCTGTATTACCACTCACTCCTTTGCAACATTTTAAGGTGTTGATAGCTTAAAGGTTCTTCAATAAAAAAAATCAGATGTCAAGGATTAAAAGGATTTCAAGTACTTTCAAGTTCTTGAAATCAGACTCTGGAATTCAAAAGTTTTCATGATGCGTGTTAACCCAGGGCATCTTGCTAAAGAAATAATATTTGGTATCACAATTAACACCCTTAAGAGAATAATATTGAGTAACTGCTGAAAAGAATAAGGTTTTGTTTAAAGGGGGTGGGGGGACATTTGTTTTACTGCTGATAGATATTTTATTTTCTGTCCACTTTGTTTTTCTTCCATCCATTGCTCAACCCCCCCCCGATTTCTCTTCAGCTCTCCTAAATCATGAATACCTTTCTTAGACGTTCCACTTCATCTTGGAGCCGCCTTCTTTCTTCATCAGCCTCTGAAGTTTCATTTGAAGATGCCTAGAAAGGAAAAGATATGTATCCAATAAATTATTATGAGCATAAAGAATCTTGAGAATGCCTCCTGGATTGCATTCATGGTCCACTTTTCCAAAATATAGAACTCTCTCAGTGAGTTTTGTCACTCAATGGGAGAAGATATTGGTTTATTTATAAACATAGAAAATCTTGCGGATGCCTCCTGCACCGCAATCATGGTTGACTTCTTCAAAATATACAACCATCTTGTCACAGTTTGGGCATGCCAAACTTGGCTTGTAAAACAAAGTGTAAATAATTAATAATGTAAATGCAAAAAATGTACAGAACAGAAGTCTACTACAGTGTAATAAGGGATCTGGGGAGGAGTATGAAACTCCACCCTTTTGCACCTTGCTTCTGTCAAGAGACACCAATTTACAGATGTACATGCACTCTATCTTTTTTGAAAGAAAAAACCATCCATATAAATGTGACCACTACAGCAACAACATGGTTTCATATTCACCAACATCCATCACTGTAACTGTGAACCTCCTCACCCAAACTCTCTTTTGATAATCCAGCCTCCATGATATATTTCCCAAATTTAAGATTTAAAATCTACAAAAAGTGTAAAGTAAATAATTAATGAACCTTTGCTGGCAATTTTCCATCTATAATTTTTTCAAGGCTCTCATTAATGTCTTGTATGTGGTGTTTGTGTTCTTTGAACGTTGCCTTATCCAGTCCAAGTTCTTTCCTTCTTGTTTTGTGAAGCAAAAGCTCATACTGAAACTAAAAGAGACAAACTGCATTAATTCCTAATAAAAGAGATGGGAATTAATGGTAAGTTAGGTATAATCTAAGAGCACTTTCCATTTGTCTGCAGAACTGGCCGACTGGAACATTGCCAGACCAGTCCATTAGCAAATAAAAAAACTAACTCCTTCATGCATATAACTATTTAGGATTTGACTGATCTACTAGCTGGATAGTTTGCTTAAAAGAGAAATTCTCGTTACGATGGGAATGGTCTGGCCAGTCAGTTCTCACAAATGGAAAGTGCCCTAAAGTTCTATTGGTACTGAAAGCACCACAGATTCAAGCAGACATTTGGACAGAGTGTGAAAAATATTTGCAAAACTGTAACTAGTTGAACTACATGTACATTTGAAGGCCTTTAATACCTGTTCTAATGAATACTGGTCTTGATTTTGAAGATGCAACTTTTCTTCTTGAATAGCAGTAATCCTTTTAAAATACCATTTTCTTGCTTTTTCAATGACCTGAAGGCCGCTTTGTAAAAGATCATGCTCTTCGTCCAACTCCTTCAACCGTCCCTCCTGCAATAAAACAGACAAGCAAATTGCAATATAAATAATAATGAATAGACAACTTGGAAATTCAAATAATTATTACTTTGTGGCTTTCTCATTTTCATCTCCATTCTTGAAAAGAGGGTTGAGAAGTAAATCGTTGTAAAGCATTTAGGATCTTTTCAGAGAAATGTGCGTGAAAATGGCATATTTCTGGAAAACTCCCAAAAGAATAATTAATTTTTGAAAATGGATTTATTTCCATTACACGCACATAAGTTCCAACAATCTTAAAAATTAATATTGCAAATCTTATATTATTTCCGGAAATTAATTTTTTTGTGGTCTTGACTGCAAATACTTATTCTAGCTTGCTTACTGCTTCGAAAATTTTAGTCAAAAAAAGGAACCGTTTGTCCAATACATTTATCTAGACAAATGTCTGGACTTCTGACTGTCAAAAATAATATATTGACACGCAGGCTACAAAAAAGAGATTGCTTCCATAAAGCTAACTACTGCTGAAATGACAAAAGGAGGAAGGAGAGGGGGTTATGGCATGTCCCTTGTAATCTGACTTTCAAAACCTGTCATTTCACAAACTAGAAGGAAGCCATACTATCTCCTGGTCAGTTTTTAATTTTATTTTTTTGTATTTGAGCTTGCCTTCTACCCTGTCACAGTTTAAACTCCCATCTTTGCCACTGTTTTAGACATTCCAACTGTCTTATAGGCTTAATACATTGTAGGCATTTATAACCACAAATAATTTATTAACAATATTATTCACAAGCACACAAAAAAAATAACCCACGAACAATGAAATGAATATTACACTAGACCCAAACATTTTTAGCACTGCCTTTTTAAAAGCTTTTACTATTGGTACACAGCGTAAATATATTGGTATCATCACTTTTTTGGTATAAAATATAAATATCAGTACAGGCTAATACAGGAGGGGCACTGATTCTTATCAATACTTTAAATCTTAAATTGTAAACAAAATATTGTCAAAGCAAGTTGTATGAATTCAATATAATCTTTCTTTTGATATAAATATTTTCTTAAATTGTAAACAAAATATTGCCAAAGCAAGTTGTATGAATTCAATATAATCTTTCTTTTGATATAAATATTTTCTTAAATTGTAAACAAAATATTGCCAAAGCTATTTCTACACATGTATGAATTCAGTGTAATCTTTTTTTAGATATACTTGTAAATATTTTGTTTGTTTTTGTATGTGCACGTTTGCATCCATCAGCAATAATTATTCTATTTATTTTGACAATCCAGTTGTAAAACAGCCTACGACATATAAAAAATCTAACATGACAAAGTGTTAACATTGAAACTGGATGTCAACAATAAATTATATATTCGCATATTACAATAATTTGATATACAGTATGTGATTAGTAATCTGGTTTGATGCTAATATAAACCTTACAATAAAATGGATAAAATTCAATGCACAAGTTACAAATTCATGCCTTGTTTACCTTAGAAGCCTCTGGAATGCCAGGAGGTCTGACATGGCCATTTGTCTGTGCTATTGGACTTTCTTCTTTACCCACAAAGTAGACTTTCGTAGTTGAGTTACTCCTTCTAACTGGACTTGTTGATGAAGGACCTTACAATGATACCAGTATCAATACAAACAGTGTATAAATATACACACCATCAAATACTGGTACCGGTGATCAGAAGTGGTGTTTAAAATAGCAGTATGTTTTAAAACCCTATATCCAGGATCCACTATAGGGTTCTCTACTCCCTTCAAACCCACCCCTCAAGTTCCCCTCAATCTCACAATCCTGATGATTATCTCGGCATTATGCATCCTGTGCATACTGTCATTCCTAAATCTCCCCCCCCCAACCTTGCTTCCTGGGAACAAGGTTGCCCCTCCCCTTCCGTCCAGTCCCGTACCCTGACCTTCAAATAAGGTAAATCCTGAACCTATTGTGGACTCTCTAGAAAGTGCAAACGCAGAAGTAAAAAGTGAAACAAATAAAGTAAAGGAGAATTTGAAAGTATTGTTGAAACTCTCTTATGGACATTCCAAAATAGCAGACAGTTCTCTTTCTTATAAATTTGCTGATAAAATTTATGCTCCTCATAGCTTGCTTATATTAGGAAAAAAAGAAAAAGGGAAAGGAAAAACAAAACAAAATAAAAAAAATGTGATTATTTTGTAACATCAACAGTTTTCATGGGTGAGCTAGCTGTATGCATCCGTCCTACTGGGTGCAGTTGACTGTGGAAGAAACTAGATTTAATATTATTATTTTTACCAGAAAAAAAACACGGGTGTTGCAGGTCATAAAAAACTAAACAAATGTCTTCTAGCTTTATTAATGTACAGTGGAAATGTAAACACGAATGACACAAAGTCTGAGATATAAATAACATGTTAAGCTTCATTACCAACCACCTGGAATTTATAATCCCTGTTGCGCTCTAACAGTTACAAATAACTTGAACGATCGATCAAGGTTTAGAATTTCTTTTAAATTCTTTAGCCTTAATCTTTCTTTCGGATAAATAACAAATCCTCCTTAGAACGATTAGACAAAGCTTAGAGGAAAAACACTAAAATTTGCTGATTTTTCTCGAAGGTGCTGCAAATGTTTTAAAAGATGTCACTGAATTTAATATTTCAAGTAAAACGAAGAAACGAGTAAATTTCATCAAGCCTAATTGTTGACTTAAAAACAAGAATCGAGCTAATTGAAATTATGTTTGCGCTTCTTTCACTTCGCACTGTAAACGAGTATTACATGTCGACATATTGCCTGCTGCTTTATAATCCGTGTTCTGTTTACTGAATAACACCTTCCATTTTCAATTAACGCGAGTTCGTTTATGAAATAAACCGTGGTATAACTATTCAAAACAACTATTTTAGTTTGAAGAGAATGAACCTGACCACAAACTAAAATGCACAGGATAATTTAGTTGCCAAGCAAACCATCAATTAAAATTTATCCTGTGAAAGATAAGAATAAAAGACACTCACTGCTACTTCCGGAGCTGTCGTTTCCGCCGATGTTGTTGGTTGGAGTAAAGTTAAGTGAACGACGTTTTTCTTGTTTTTCTTCCTTCCAGTCTCTCAATTGTTTAATTATTTTCACTTTTTCTCTCCTTTCACCGCTAGCAAAAGAGTCCTCGCTTGAATCGGAAGTCCAATCTTTCGCAGTGTCCAGCTGAGGAACAGAGCTCGAACGTTTGGTCGTTTGACCGTGACCAGAAAACCCATTCACCGTTACCGTGGTTCCATTTTGAGTTCGTGGTTGAGTTTTGAGGGCGAGTTTCATACCCGTACAAAGCCTCTCAAAACTAAGCAGCCCATTTTTTGGTGTTACTTTCCGTAAGCTTTCAATAACTCCCTCATTGAGCGCAGTTGATCCTTGGTTTGTTTTCCAGCGCGATTCAATGTCAGCTAATCTTAAGAAACCAGAACCTTTTTCGTCGAGAATATCGAACAACGTTTTCAAATAGCGAAGAAATTCCCTGGGTAAATCCTGTGTTATATCTACGGGCTTAGCAATAATAGTAGGGGAACCTTCATGCCCGTTTTGCTTGGAAAAAAGAAATACATGTCTACCAACTTGCCTCGAGTCCATTGCTGTGTCCGTGGACATCTTTACGCAACGAAAAAATTTACAACACTGTCCACGCGCAACCGAGGCCGAGTCTTTTGAATGTTGTCAAGTGTGCACAATGGGCAAGCTTGATTAGTGGCTAATTTAAATAATTGCTCCATAAAAAGCAAACAATACTTGTGGTTTTCTTTGTAATGCGAGATTGAAAGAAGTTTTCCAAGTTTGAGAAGTGTCACGTATTATTTTTGTGGAGTTCGAGAGAGAAAACACTGAGAAAAGTCGTGAAATTGTGATTATCCGTCATGAGATAGGTCCGTCTAGCGTGTCAAGTGGTTCTTGGCCTCTATCACATCAGTTTTTCTACGCTAAATAACGACATTTTCGTTGGTCAGGTCGGTACGTGTCTATGACACTTCCTCTGTTCATCTAGTAATCACAAAACCAAAATGTGGCTATGTCAACAGAAAAACAATCAAATAGTTATTAAAAATGGGAAAAATTGCGCTGACAGGATTTGAAGATATTTCATTTGAACAAACTATGACGTTTTCCCCAAAACTTGTTCATTTAAGAGCATGACAATATTAGATCGAGAAACGAAGAGGGAAACTTGTTTAATATTCAATTCATATTTTCAAAGGAAGCTCCTAGAAAGATTTTAACAAGAACATACTACAAATTGTGAAAAGTCAAGGCAACTCGGTCGGTCGAAACGGACGTGTTTGGAGAACAGGGAAAAAAAGAAGGCATGGTCTTCGTTCCGGACAAAGTCTGAATTTATTTTTTCCCTTACTACGCAAAGGATTCTGAATGAAAGAGCCGCTTTTTGTTCTTTTATTGAACTGTTTTCCGCAACACGTGCAAGAAACGAGAAAAGCCCGAGGCAAGCGTACATATGAAAAGATGAAAGTTTGAAACACCTGTAACGAATTCCTGTTCATTGCTCTCAAAGAGAACTATTTCAAAACATCAAGTTTGTTTTAAAAGATAACAATTATTTGTTTTGATTCTTTTATCGTAACGCTTGTTTAACCTTTTTGCTTCTTTATCGTGCAGTTGTTTTATATTCATTGTCGGGTGTGAATGGGCTTGGAAGCCCTTGTATTGGACAGCTGATCACCGACTATTATACAAACAGCTAAAAATATGGACATTTCCCCTCCGCAAAGATGAAATATCAGGAAACCAGCTTGCGAGGAATAAAAACAAGCGATACATTAAATTTGCGGTTAGACATCAAGCCGTCACTATTCTAATAATACCTTTGCGGCATTCAAAAGGTTCATTTAATGTGAAAAGCAATTTGTTAGAGTGAATAAGATCACGAAAATAGCCCATAAACGAACTAATCGGCCGCCTTTGTGGGAGGTTATGCCCTATTGACAGGGATCACGCGACGTGTTCAAGTCTAAAACCACGGGGGCGCACAACGAAAACATATTTTTGCTTTCAATGTCAAAGCTAGAGGAGCTAAGAATGAATCCCACAAGGTTGTTGGAGAATTCACTAAAATTAGCTCCTTTACTATACCAAAGAAAGAGAGCTTAAAGCCGGAACGTGCGCGAGTTTAAAACAACAACATCACCAAAAACAAAGTAGCCAGAAAGAGTCAAAATTCTCCCAAATGCCCTTTAACATGCTTTTAACATAATCAAAACTGGAACAAGCGCCTTATACCGTATACAGAAAATAACAGGTTATTTCAGGTACAAAAGATAATCCACATCAAGTGGCACAAGAAGATTTCATCTAACGCGACGCTCGGATAGTTTCGTTTTAAAGACGTGCAGGCATTTCTTTCATTCGCTTCAACGATTTTCAAGGGGAGAACTATAAAATTATTATTTTTTCTTGGGTCACAATATATATGCAGGGTATATACACCGAATATACCTACAGAAGAATTGGCAAATATCCAAATTTGCAATCAGTAACAGAAGCAAGTACCACCGAGAATCGGGAACCACTCGGCAAAATCGTAAACAATAACATATGCAATTGAAAAGATCTTTTTTTTTTCTCTTTTAGAAACCATAGGAGTTCTCTGCTGCCACTAACGGGAAAAGAGACTTTGCTTTTCTGACTAATTTCTTAGCACAAATATGCACATATCGGCTTTGAAGGCCCGGCTCCACCCTTAGCTGATTTCAAGGACTTAAGATTTTTTCGTCTCCACTTTTAATTGTCACGGAAGGCCTGACTTAACAAGGATCTTAAAAATTGACGACGACCCGAGAGGGCCTCAAGAATGAGCCATATCAATTAGGGATGGCAGGTTTAATCCTTTTTTTTCCCGCGATCTACTTATCCTGTAACAACGATGATTATTGACGTCAATTCTTTGAAGTACCTAATGGTGCGACATCAATGTAAGGAATTTCATCACATAGGCAGTGTAAATAAGAAAGCTGGTCATGATGCTTTTTGATTCAAACTGTAAAACAACACATAGTAAATATGCATCAAAGTGCTTTCACATATTCCTTATTACTCCAAATTTCCTCAAGACTCCCAAAAACGACAGAAAAAATGGCATTGTAATCTTTGAGAACGTTTTAACCTTTAATCAAATATCAGAAAACAAAGAAAAGAAAAAAAGTTTTCCCAAAATGAGTCGCACAAAGACGACTGCATAAAGCAACTCGACTCAAAGAAATAGAGTGCTACGTACGCATTTGAAAGATTAAAAAACGCAAAATCAGAGGTTGTGTGTTTTTTTATTCACGTGTACGTGCTTACACGCTAATTATGGATTACCCAAATATTATTTTAGCAAAACTGATTTTAAGTGATTAAATACCAGTTCTGATCTTTGTTTTGGTACACTGATTTCGACATAAAAATATTGTCAAAAATTCGGCGTCAGTGTGGAACTGCAATTTCAATAATACAAAATCAATGAAAGTAGAGTTCGAAAGAACGTCGTTGTCTTATTGTTTTAAAATATAACTTTTCGGTGGAAATGTTTGAAAAGCCTTGTTGGAGAGGCTTTTACGGCCATCGTCTACGTTGTTGAGGTTCTCTTTAACCCGCATTACTTAAACGGAAATTTCTAATCAACACAATGTTCATCTCTTTTCGCCAAGTCTCAGTGAATCAGAACTGTCCATTATCATAACAAAAAGCCACAAAATGCAAGAACCAGCACGTTCGTTACTTAGGCCTTTTCACGTGTCGAGTTCCATTTTTGTCAGCGTAAAATTTCTCCTTTGCGCGTGCGTGACAATTAATATCACGTGACATTTACCAGTCATCATGCTGACCTGTAAAAAACAGTATTTTCAATCAATACCTCCAGCGATGCATGCGATGAAGTCCATTTTTGACATCGCAAAACTTTCCTTTTGCGCATGGGTGACACGTTACGTCACGTGATAGGTCACGAGACATCATAGCATGGCTCCTTGACATGAGTTATTTGTTAGCCACGGGGATGTCATGTGTTTTGCTTTTGTCTTTTCCAGAACCGTTTAACATCATCATGACCAGAGCGACTGACCACAATAACTCTTTTTGATGAGTTGGCCCACATAAGGACGCCAAGATCCTAACAAATGAAATGGAAATACAAAAGTATATAAGTGCTTGTGAGTTTGATTCTGACGAAGAAATCTTACACTGTCCTTAAAAAAAAAAAAAAGTCAGCAAGTGAGATTATCCTGTGAAATTATCCTATAGTTGGTTATCCCGGTGGCAAGTGAAAGAATACACAAAGGACCTAAACGACCATGGAAAGGATTACTACCGAGAGCTGGGCATGTATATTGGGTAGCCTGTGGGGTCAGGTGGTTACAAGAACAAGGAGCGTTACCTCGGCATACTTCCGCAGGGTTTCAAAATCAGCTTGTGATAAAAATTGGTTGTACAGCACACCTACGGAGAAAATCAGTGTCAGAATAGCACAGCTTTAGCTAAATGTCAGGTTAGAATGGTACAGGCACTAAACAAAAGTTGTTTACCATTTTAAAAAAGTTTCCGGAAAATCCAGTTGGAAAATAAATGGAACTCGACTTTTCCGGTTGTTTTAGCGGAAAATTACCGGTAGCAAAGGAACATCTGAAAAGGTAGTCTTGTTTTTCCTGGTCGGAAATGTACCAAACGGAAATTCGTGCTCCATTTCCACTTAAAGTCAACTTTGATACCACTTTCAGGCTTTCGCCACCGTTTTCCGCTGAATGGAACTGTTGTTTGCTTTGCTTGCATAGCCACGGTTTCTGATTGGCTAAAAAACTTCGTGCCCTATTATCAACCAATCAGAAGCTGTACCCGTCGTGGCCAATTCGCACGCGTTTTTTCCTTCGCATGTTGCACGTGTGATTGGTTCTCCCCATCTTTTTTTGCTTTTCTAGGAGGCAGCGTTACCGAACGGTTACAGCAATGGACTAGCAATCACTAGTCCCTGATCTCCGTCCTGTCCTCGATTAAGCTTGCACTGACCGCCCAGTTTCTGTGTTTCGCGTGGAGAAATTTTCGCGACTTTGGATTTCATATCTTAATGTTGGGATCAAATTTTATGTTTTCAGTTTCGTCTGGGGAGTAATATTTGACAAAATATACCCGACAATTTCATGTTTAATAGAACATAGAAACGTCTAGTTTTCCATAACCAGTTTATTGCAAAGTCAAGGTATAAAAAACAAAGGGCGCACAGCAAACCTTCAGTGAACGTCATTCTGCTCCTCTCCAGTTCCCACAGTCGGATTTGGTCGCTTATTGTTGGTGGTATGATGGGAGTCTGGGAGAGAACACGAAAGAGTAAAAACAATAGGCTCCGTCCACACGTATCCTTTTTTGTTTGAAACCGGATATTTTTTTTTTCCGGTTTGGCGTACCGTCCACAGGTATCCGAAGAAAACTGTCACCGGAAACGCGCCTTTTCAAAAACTCTATCGAGAGGGGATTTTTGAAAACGCCGTTTTGCTGTTCTTGTGTGGATGGATGAAAACGGAGGTTTTTAAAAACGATTATGTCACGGTGTTGGACATCAGTAAAAGCGCATGCCCCTATCCAAGATGGTACTCATGGTTCAGTCACTATTGAGTGTTTTCACATGACTTCTCGACGGACATACCGTAAAATTTTTGCCTTGCTTTACTTTGTTTTTGAGGGCAAATTCTAAATACAAGCCCCGCAGGGGGCTTATATTCGGAGGGTTTTTTTTGCGTTACGACTTTGGGGGGGGCTTATATTTGGAGGGGCCTACACACGGAGGGGCTTATTTTCGAAATTTTACGGTATTTGTGTTCCAAAAGTATGAGAAGGTGGCCATGTTGCGTTCCAAAGCAGTCCTGTGAGAGTTTAACTCTTTTCACATATAAAATTTAAATGCTTCCTTTTGTTGTAATAAATTTGCAGAGATGCTAGCCACGTGAGTGAAAACACTCTACTACGTTACTTTCCGTGTGGACGGGCAAAAACGATAAAAAAAAACCACAATGTGTGGACGGACGCCCATTTTTTTTTGAAAACGGAGAAAAAATTTCCATTTTCAGACAAAAACAGAAACGTGCGGACGGGGCCATAGTTCCCTTAAGAAACTCTTAAAAAGATTGTAAGGGAATAATTATTATCATCGCAAACGACCTAGGTGACACAGGGAATTTCTTGTTTTAGGAGAAATAGGCATATGCTTGCGCACGACAGAAGGTGTAATTATAAGGAACCGTCGACGCGGACCATTTCTCACTGGATACGGCCCAACCCCGCATTATAACAAACACCAGTAGAGTATGAGTATGCAAAAGTTGCGTCTATAACTGCGATGATCTTCTTTCATTTAAACACCAGTAATATTAAATGTATTAATACTACTCCGATTTAACGCTCTCCCGTTATCGTGACGTCTTTAATTTACGAAATTGCATTTCGAGATCGAATGTCGGATTTTAGAGCAAAATAACTTAGGAAAATGGGTGGGAAATTGAAGGAACAAAAGAAATGTTTTGACCTACCTTTTTAAGCATCTCTGGGTGTGCTCTAGTTCTCAAGAAATGAAGAATCTGCGATACAAACACATTTTTACTTTCGCTAAATAACGTTAAAAAAAGACGTCTCCAGGTTCCATGCCAAATCATCCTAGCGGATATTGGAAACGTGACTCAATAGGTGTGCAGGCGTGCATGTATAACTGTATTGACTTCCCTGTGGGTGAACTTTGAGAGAGAGAGTTTACAGTTTAATGTGAGGCATTTATCCTGCTAAGATTCCCAACCCAATAGCCTTTAAGAGGGACCAAAATTTTGATTCTCCTTGTGATAAAGCTGTTTAATCGTAGCATAAACGTTGCGAGAAATAGGAAATAATCAAAAGGTGAAAAAGGTTTTGATTATTACACAAATTCTCCCCATTAGGACCATGGCAAATGTAAGGAGAACAGTAAGGACACTATGTAGGTTGAACTTGGGTTTAAACGGGTAACACACTGACAATGTCATGACCAACAACTGAAAAACAGGTGTTTCTTTCACAGCCGCTTAGTCTTCCAAATAACACTCTCTCAAAATTCAGGGTTACCACGGCCACTCACAGTTAACCCAGGATTAGAACTAGGCAGGCTTCAAACAACTTCGCCCTTGAAGTGCACATTATGGGTGGGAACATGGGTAGCAAGGGTGGTGTGGTACAGTGGAGAGAGAGAGCAATTGCCTCCCACCATTGTGGCTAGGACTCAAATCCTGAAGGCGATGCCATTGAGTGTGATGTTGGTTGTTTTCTATACTCCGACAGGTTTTCTCCTGGTCCTCCGTTTTCTTCTCTCCTCAAAATCAACATTCCCAAAGTCCAATCTGAATTGGAATGGTAGATGAAGAACCATGTTGTGTGCAAACTAACACTAAATAGTTCATTTAATTTTACATTATTGTTTTATTATCTTTACAAAGAAGAAAGTTTGATTCAAGTTACCTGTTCAGCAGATATGCCACTTGCTAATGCCTGCAAAACATAGAATAAAGGAGATTCAGTTTGACACATGTTTAATTTTTCGAGTAATAAGCCAGGTATAATCCCTAGAAACAAAACAAAACTAGAAGTAAGAGAGCTGAACCATTCTTTACTGAAAACGACTGAAGGAAGTTTCACAATGTACGTTTCACACGGCAAGTTGAAGACTGACCGACTAACAGATCACACAGAAATAGCATGTTGAGAAATTAAGCTACACTCCTGACCAACTGACCAAGAGACACTTGTCATTATGGATAGGCACGATAATTTTTTTTATTATCACTAAGGCTCAGTTACACTGGGTACCAAAGGTTTTTCTTGTGTGAGGCAGGAATTTTCAGTGTTGGCCGAGACACATCTTCAGACTATGAAGACTTGACAGAAACCGGAAACTACATTAGAAAAGTCTCTAGTACCAAGGGTAAGGCTCATTGGGTTCATTTATGATTACTGGAACCCAGATGTTTCTCCACGTCCAAAGTGCGGTGGTTGAGATTCCTTGGGGACAAGGTGGGTGACTTTTTAAACTGTTTATTTTATGCCCAGACAGCTGTCATTTTTGGGCTGATTTTTTCTATAAAATCATCTAGATCTCCTTGATTGCCCAAGTCATCTCCAGATGATCATATGAAAACACCTTCAATGCAATGATGGGTGATCTGTAAAGTGATCAGGTCAATATTGCTCGGATAGTAGTGGATCAGTCTACATATAGGCTGGTTTCCATTGTTTCGGCTGATCATGGGACACTATTGCCCAACACTCCTCCCCCTTCCCAGGGTTGTCATTAAGAGCCGGGGGCCGGGGATTTTCCCCGGCTACTAAGAGAGTGGCCCCTGGCTACTTTTATTGGAAAATAGACCAAAAATAGAACCAAAAGAAATCCCGAGCCGTTTGATTCCCCGCCTACTTGTTGTATTTACGCGGCAACTTGAAATCTTAGTGACAACCCTGCCATCCCCACCAAAAATAAAAATGAGGAGATTGAGATGATCTGGATAGTTGTTATGTGAAAACCAGGATTAAATATCATTTATTACATCAATAATATTGATAATAATCTTGTAGGTTCTGATGGTAATTTTCACAATTATTGTAAAAATTACCATCAGAACCTACAAGATTGATCAAATTCAAGTAAAATACCTGTTGAACACTATCCCTTGTCAGCATGCCCACACAGAAATTGGGAAACCTACAAAAGACCAAAGACAATACATCTAAGATGAGAAATTTCAGTATATTTACAGCAAGAATATTGCATTTTTTGAACACACATAATCACATCCATACCTACAAATTATTTCTGCAAATAATCCCACAAGGGCAACCTGGAGGGTGGACCCTAAGTAGAATACATGTACATGTAAGTATACACACATAGGGTGAAAAAGAATTATTGGTCAAGTACAACAAAAATGAAATCAATCAAATTTCCATAAAAGCTAGGTTTTGGATGCTATCCAATGTTCAGAGGTGTTAACACAAATTCAACAAATGGTCTTTAGACTTTTACAGCTTTTGTCCTGAAATTTGGCTGTTATTGATAAGCAACTTATTACCAATCATAACTCCATTTTCTGCTGGCAATTTACTCGTCTTTATCTCAAGATAGGTACATATTATCTGCTTTAATTAAGATGGTATTTTTTTTTAGCATAGAATGTGCAGTTTGTGCTAACAAAATAGACTTTACAACTATTTTCATTGATATGTTTGTTCTGAAATGGGCACGCAGGCCCCATAATTTAGCACGTTTTCCCTCCTGGGACCCTTGCATTACCCCTGGGTATTGAGCGTGGTATTCAAATGCTTTGCCAACATCAGGATCACTGGTCAGATCGCTTTTCTATGCATTCAAGCCCTGAGAGTGCATATATACTTGCGTCTTTGCCCTCCCTCCTCCCCTCAGCGATGAAAACCCAGTTATGCTGCACTTCTTCGCATACGCGGAAATTATTTTCGCCCATATCTTAGTATTCCCCGCGTGTGCCATAGAGGTGCAGCATATCAATGAAAATTCTCCTTCTATCAGTGTCCTACCCCTGGCAGATGTCATTAAGCCTCTACATACCTGTATAAGCATAAACACGATAGTTCGTCTCCACAACAATGAACCCCTTTTCATCTGTGTTGGTGACAGCTGTGCTTCCTAAAACACAGTCAGATTACATTAAATCAGCAAAAGAATCAAACTATAGACTACATACTAAAAACAAAGAAAAGGAAAAACTCTTGAGATTTTTTAGCATAGCAAACAGCAGTAAAACTTAATCATAGATTGGCTGTTAATTATCTAGCACATGTACTACACGAAATAAAGCAGTTTACTGTTCCCTATTAAATTGAGGAGACAAGGAAATAAAATGATGTTCCATTTTCTATCACAACGTCAGCCAGTCTCTTTTCATTCAGAAGGAAAAATATCATTGGAAATTATACCACCATACCGACTTTGTTAAAAGATCACCGACTAACCAATAAATGAATATTACTGTCACTGTTTCATAAATATTACCATCAAGTTAAAGTAGCTAGAAGGCTTCACTTTCATATGCCTGCATGGTTGGTTTTAAAGAACCCTTTGGCACTTTTCTTTGAACATAATTATGATGTAACTATAATAATATTATTGTGGCAAATGACAAAAAAATCGAACAAATGGACATGTAAGCATGCAATGTGTTTATACCTACTGCAAAAGAACAAATTAACACATTCTTACAAAATGCACAATGCTATAAATTTTGGACTTGAAGAACAAGAGCTACACTTTATTAATTGATCAAAATTTTTCTCCCCTAGCTGGTTGTCTAATAAAGCTATATACCGGATGGTGGCCACTCTATGAATTTCAAGGTAAAGTTTTACCTATTCCAGCAGATGCCAGGTTGATGGCTAGTCTTGTAGGGTAGTACCGTTTGGATTTTCGCTAAAAGACAATATTTTTGTAAATTAGTTAATCTTATTTATACAGATCCATGATTAATTCATGTGCTTTTGATGAGAGTACAGGCAAGCAATTGCTACACTTACAACAGAGAGCATGAATTACCTTTCTTTGAAACACCAGACCAAACTCTCTAAGATGCTGAAGAAACTTGGATTGAGACTCGCTCATTCCATCTGTGGAATATTCCTTTATGACAAATAAAACCAAGCTTTCACTTAGATGTACATAATTGCATAAGCAAATTTTGTAAATAAAACAGTTATAAATGTGAAAAATAAAACTAATGATGCCAGGATGAACTTCAACCATGCTAACAACATTTTTTCATGGATATGCCCAATTTTTGCATTTTGGAACATTTTACTGTGTCTGCTTGCAGTCAATACAATCATGTAAAATATAAATTATCTCAGTATGTGTTTTTTAAGCAAACCTAGATATCTAATGAGAGTCAACAGTACAGTCACACAACAAAAAAGCCATGACATATGCATGCAATCTTTTTTCTTAGCAGTGTAATAAGACACAATAATTTTTTTTTACAAGTACCCTTTTTGTAATTAAACAAAATTAGTGTTATGTTTATTTTATAATAACACCTTTCCTAGGGTAGCAAAGCTGATCTGGAACAAAAATGAAAGACACTCCACAAGATCCATGCTGCGGCCCTGAAAATTGGTAAAAAGGCAGGGTTGAATTAGAGATCTAAGTCCTATGTCCTTGATAATGGTGTTAAAGATGAATTAACACTTGACAATTTTTTCTCTTAAAAAGGAACCAAAAATGAAACTAGCGCAGTTTCAACTAACAACAACCACATTTGTACCTCAACTGTCTCAAGGTATTGAAGCATGAAATACCAAACTTGAGAGGCAGTGTCCATCAACAGGAACTGAAATCCTGCTGGACTTATGACAGGCCTACTTCCAGGTGTTTCACTGAAGAAAAACAATTTACAGCAAGAAATACATTGTAAGCTACCGCTGATTGTGTTTTAGTTGAATATAAGGTCATTTGGTAAGTAAGCAAAAGTGTTTGAGATTTCAAAGAATACATTTAGTTGAGCTTGCACATAGACTTTTCACAGTCCACTATTTTTCTGTAAGATTTCCCACATTAAGCACTTTACCGTTATGGGCAGCCATGTTGGTTTCGAATGTACTGAGAGAGTGGAGCCCCAGGGTTAACAGTTGTGAGTGGAGCGGGAGGCTAGAATTTTTTTTGCCTCCCTCCAATTTGTCCCCAACCTCTAATAAATTAGATTTGATACTCATCCTCACATTAGACTTGATGCTTTTGAAACCAAGATGGCTGCTGTAAGGCCCTGTTAGGGTAAATTCCAACAGGTGACACATCACAGCAGAAATGGCGACAAATGACACAAAGATGGGTTGAAACGGCAACAGGGACAGAGAAAAGCACAAATACAATAATAAACACTGACAGCTACATGGCTTCCTTCACAATACACGAAGCAACAGGTGTTTGAAATTTAGACTGTGAGCAGTCTCTTTTCAGTCAGTTGAGTCTAAGCTTGGCAGGACTGGAGAGAGGGAAATGGCCAAGAGGGAAACTGGAGAGAGGCGCCTCCTCCCCAGCTTCCCCTCGGCTTCTTGTTTTTTACTTCGCTCGGTTTTCTCGCTTGTGTGACCATCCTGAGGGACTGCTCGCAGTCTATTTGAAATTCAGACTAAGGACATACGTAACCCCCCTAAGAGGGCCTTGCTTGTAAGTGTAGGTGCTGGATCCCTACGATCTTAAGGAAAAATATGGGACTGTGAAGGGTCTAGCTGAGAAGCAACTAAAAAAATCCAGCCGTATGCACTTACCACTTCATGAGACCTGATAAAACCAAGACTCTGACCACATCCTGACTGACTACAGCACTCTCCTCTGTCGCTGTACAACCAGTCATGAAATGAAGAACAGCCTCAAGAAGGAAAAAAGTGCACTCATTAAAGTGATACAACTGATAAAATGGACAATAAACACGGTGGACTCAATTTGCTCAATATTCCAGAGGGATAAAGAGAATAAAAGAGGCTACTGTAAAATTGGGTGGTTTCTCGGTATGCATGAGATGCAAATCAGTGAAGAAATTTCTGTATGTAAGAGCTTTAACTCACAGCCGCTGCAATTTGGCAACTTAACAGATAAAAATGTTACAGTACAATTTTTTTTCTCGACTAGCTACACACTGAACAAAGAATCAAAATGAACGTAGTCACTAAAACATGGAACGACCTACAACCACCTAAAACCACCTAAAACCACCTAAAACCATCTACAACCACCTACAACCACCTCAAAAAAATTCATCAACCACCTACAACCATCTACAACCACCTCAAAAACATCTACAACCACTCGCAAACAATCTAAAACCATCTAAAACAAGGTATAAATGTCTCAAATAAGGCGAGACGACAACATGTCACGTACATGAAATACGAGAATCGAACAAAACATCCACTTCCCCCTAAAATCTTACTCTCCCTGGTCCCTTGTATCATCAACCATTGGCTTAAGTCACGAAATGAAATGCGAGATCATGCTAAGTATATTAAAAGACTTAAAGAACTTTACAAAATGAACTATCAAGTCACAAAAAATAATAAAATAAAATAACAAACTCGTAGTCGAAAGACTGACTTGATTTGGCTTTTTCTACCCTGGGTACCAGTGAGACGTTTGGTTGACGTTTCATTTGTTTACATAATAGAGACCTTTAGCATCACGTTTTTCATGGGAAACGACGAACGCCATCGTGCCTGCATTCATACAGTTGTACGAATGGTGACACGTATGAATGGTGACTCATGATCACGTTTTGCTCCTGCTGAGATTCTAAATGAAATTTTCCAGACATATTCCAGATTTCGCACCATATGTGATCACTGGTAATGTGACATTTGAAACATGATTTTAAAACAATTAAAAATCACAAACCATCAGTTGTTTCTTAAATTATAATCAAATTGTCGATGAGTTTCACAAGAGAGAGGAAACAAAATCAAACTTATATCCCAGCCCTCTCAACATAAGAGGACAGTGCGGTGGAAGTTTTGTGTTAAGCTTAATGGTTGATGATACAAGGGACCAGGGAGAGTAAGATTTTGGGGGGAAGTGGATGTTTTGTTCGATTCTCGTATTTCATGTACGTGACATGTTGTCGTCTCGCCTTATTTGAGACATTTATACCTTGTTTTAGATGGTTTTAGATTGTTTGCGAGTGGTTGTAGATGTTTTTGAGGTGGTTGTAGATGGTTGTAGGTGGTTGTTGAATTTTTTTGAGGTGGTTGTAGGTGGTTGTAGATGGTTTTAGGTGGTTTTAGGTGGTTTTAGGTGGTTGTAGGTCGTTCCATGTTTTAGTGACTACGTCAAAATGAATGTGGAGGCTCGAAAAAGATGAAGTTAAAAATAAGGGTCCCAGGTTTTTCATTCATCAGACAATAAGCTTATAATCATACAGTTCTGTCAAGATCAATGACTGGTCAAACAATCTGTAGACTACACAAGCCACAGGTCCATTGCACTGGGCCAGGCTCCGGTTGCTTAAAAATTAGATAGTGCTAAACACCAGATAAATCGCTATCTAGTGGATAAGTATTTCAAAATCCAATTATGTTATAAATCCACTGGATATTTATTGGTCTGTTATCTGGTCTCAGTTGTTCAGAAGGTGGATAAAACTATATAGTTGTATTGTCTTGCAGTTGTCAAAATAAAAGTAAAAATTGTACCTCCCATCTTTCCATGCTGTATTTATCGAGGAATGGAATGTCTCGTGCGTGCTTGTCCCGTTCTGGCTGATCACCTGAGCCTATCCATGGATTTCCTCTAAAATCAAATGAAAAAAAAAACAACACCATGCCAGTTTGTTCTTAATTTAAGAATCTATAAAAATTTAATAAGCGCCACTCTGTTGGTGTCACCTTTCAGTTAGCAGTATCTTGCACGTGCATGTGCACTTCCCTCTGTTTTATTAATTCCACATGCTCTTGTTTGATCCTTCTCATTAAATCTTCGTTTGAGACACACTTTACTCTTTATCGGCGAAGGAATAACTGATATAAAAGCACAATGTTCGAATATACTCCTAAATGCTTTAGTGCTCCTAAATTACTAAATAACAAGTACCATGCGTCAATATCCTGAGTCAGTTTATATGGTCAGGGCTTCGCTCTAGCAGGCCTAGGTGGCTGCTGGTGCCTTACTCTTTATTTGCTCTTGAGTGAATAGGAAATGTTAGGTTTTTTGTAGAATATTTCTATCAAAAACCTATAATTTCCTCGGATTTAATCCTTTGCTGGGCACCCTGGATTTCACAGGTTCAGAGCATGAAGATCGCTTTTCTCTGAGCACAGCCTTGATGGTAATTTTTTTTCACACAAAAGTTTAGCGTTCTTAACCTACCCTCCACAAAGTGCAATCTTGAGGTTGCTACGGAAAATTGCATTCATCTCAAGTCTGTTTGTAGTCCCACCACTTGATTCTCTCCATATTCTAAGAGCTTTTAGTCGATTTACAGATCCTATATAATGCCTGCAATTAAGTACACATGCATTGTTTGAGAAAGAACTGCTTGTACTACAATGTAAGTACACTCCACTCTATATGTACAAATACATATATGACAGGTCAGAATTAAATTCTGGTTAAAATTTTTTAACCTAGGTTTAATCTCATTTTCCTTAGTCTCGTAGCCCTAATTATTCATAAATTACGACTAGGAAACAAAGGAATCAACCTAGGTTAGTAAATTATTATTATTATTTCTAGCCTTATCTAGGATCATCAGTACAAGCAAGAGATGGACGGAGGTACATTTTGCTGTTCATATTATTAATATAGTGCCCACTCAAAGTCATCAAGAATAATATTTCGAGAATTCACAAAGGAAGTCACCATCAAAATAAGTATAATTGTTATGACATGAGCATAAAAGTAGCATCTGGTAACATCTATTCCCAGCTTAAACCTGCAAAATATCCTTTGAGCTAGAAAGCTAAGGAAAGTCTGAATCAAAGATTGCTGAATACCCATTTAACAAGAGAGTGGATTTTACCTTCAACAAAACCAACATGATGGTAAGGTCAAAGGAGGGGTTTCACTACAAACAAATTGAACAGAAATTATTGCCCATTAGCATGAATATCTTACTTCTGGTGATCACTTTTCACCCATGCAGCAACCAAAGTTTCAGGCACTGGCTGATCTGCAAACAACGTCCTCATCACAAACTGTTTAGCAAGCTCTGGTAATTCCCTTGAAAAGATCACAAAATAACTGTTTCACTTTACACAAGAGATGATTATTATTACACTTATTATGGCCGAGCTCACTTGATGTTATCAGTAGCCTTGCAGCTCCTCAGAACCTCTAATTTAATTAGACCCTATGGGTCACAGCTCTTTTATTTTGAGGCTGGGTTTCACTGTCACCTTTGTTTTGATTATTGTTTTACGAACCAACAATCCAGTGAGGTCTTCTGAGAGTGGCAAGGTCGCCTGATGTTATGATCAAAGATGCCTTTTAAAAATTTGTTTTAAGATGTTATCGGTGAATCTTTATTTGCTATGGTTGGTTACCCTGGTGATAATGCACCCTCTGCAAAGGTCAAGCCAGAGATCAGAAATCTTTTAAAGTTCTTTAATGATATCCTCATAAATCTGTTTGCACAGTACTATAAGTGCTAATAGCAGCTTAATTATGCTCGACCACACTTCCCAAATTGTGTTTAATCTGAGTTCCAAAAACCCCCACTTTCAAAATGAGGCTACATGCAAAACCTCTCGTAAGGAAATGATTTTTATTTGAACGAGAATAGAAAACTATTTTCAAATCAAAGATTTTGCACTTACACTGTCGGTACCCTAGTCCCCTTCGCAGCTGCTCGGCTCGAGTCATGCAAGCTTCCCGGTGAGCTTGCGTGACTCCAGCCCGTATGGCTGTGAAGGAGACTGGGGCATCTCCAGAAGCAACTGAGGTAGTTTATTTAATAATCAAGATTTCTTTAACTAATATTGATCATTTCCTTAGACCCAGTTCAAACTTTAAGCTTAATACCTCTTTAGGTCAACCCAAATGATACAAGCTCGATGGGTGATTCAGATGCCAACTCAATTCAATTCATTTTCACAACGTACAACGGTTTACAATGCTTACTAGTGAAAGTAAATTAACGTAATTTATGCATTAGGTGCAAACCATGAGAAATTCGATGTTTGAAAAGACAGCGCTCCACATGTCAAAATTCCGTCAACCCAAATTAGATATGTTGGACTTACTTGATTCAAACGTCGATCTCTTCATGTACTTAATATAATTTGAAGGGATTAGGTTTGGTAAATGAAAAGTTCGACGTTTGGACTGGACTTCAGTGAACTTAGCTTTGTGTTGATTCAGCAGTGCTTTTTTGGAAATAGAAATAGTAAGATGCTGATCAATTTTATGTTTATGCAAGTCCACAATCCACAATTTCCACAGAAACACCTTCGAATTGACGTTCTCTGTTCCTTCCTACCGTAGGAAAAAGGAAAGTGACGCCAATCCAAAAGCAATATATTTTCCTTTTTTAAGGGTCCTTATAGCGGAGCTCCACGCGCGCGCGTGGGCGGAGCCCCATAGCTAAGGGAATCTACCCATCCAAGAAAATTTGGTAATCACGTGACCGTACACCAAACGAACGAACGACCGACCGTCCGTCCGCACCACAGGGCAACCAATGTTTACTCTCAGGCTGTCTAGCGAGTTTGGGAGCCCAGGAAAAAACTAATTGCACATCAATGTTGTGATCAATTTACAGCTGTCAAAACAGGGTATCCGCTGACCAGTATCACCTGACCGTACCGCGGGCTCAAGAGTCGACCCATCGAGGTCGAGTTTTTTTTTGCAGTTATCCGTTGACAAATTACCAGTTTCAAATGATCGCAGGCTTAAGTTTATTTTTTCCAGTGATTCATACGAAATTTGTTGTGTTTATGTCATTATGGCCCCGCACTATTAAGATTTTGATTTCAAACTGACCTCGGACGCGAAAATTCAGCCAGTTTTTTTAAAAATACAGGCGGAGAAGACCTTTTCTTACCATCGTCACGCGTTGGTCACGCTCTACATCCAATTTTTATGCTCTGATTGGTCAAAGTCTGGCAGGTGAGTTCATGCGGAAAATTTATGCAGCATCTTGAAAGTTGTTTACTTTAACAGCTGAACCTGACAGAGTTTTTTGTCAACTTGTGATGTTTTTAACTGCCTTTTTAGACCGGATGTACAAAATGAAATACAGCTTCTATCAAGAGTCTTCTGTTATTCATGGCTGGTTTGTTTATTGGGTTTTTGGTTGAGAAATGCGTCGCTTGTCAAAATTCGGTAATCCGATTTCGGATGGCATCGTTTTTGTTTTTTACCTTGCTTAATGCGTAAGAAGGTTTAAAAGTCTCAACCAACTGTGGCCTTCCTTGATAGCTTTCAGGAACTGAATCTGGAATGGTAAGCCTGAGTAATTATTGTATTTGATGTTTGTTTTTGTTATATCTAATTTCATGAAGTCGAGCACAGTTTATGCGGCAAGTTTATGCACGTTTGTAAGATTTGAGTCAATGATCTGACATAGTCTAAGGTTTGATATAAGCTTACAGGACTTTAAAAGGCCTTCACAATATATTTTCTCACCACAAATAGAAAGAAAAAGATCCGAAGAATATTTAGTTGTAAATTTGGCTGTAGAAAGAAAACTTTGAGCGATTTTCTTGCTTCGAGGAGTTCACCTTCGAAAACAGTAAACACCGCACCGGGAAGCCGGCTTAAGCTTTACGCTTAAAGACTCAGGATTTTTAGAGACACTTTAATACTTGTCTTCGTGAATGAAAATTGTTGCCTCTGTAAATGTTTCACCGAATTATATTTTTTTTATTGATTGTTAGTAGTCTCTCTTGCAATTTTAATCGCTTGTACGTGCCGGTTGTTTTCATCGTTCATGAACATCGCTTGCAGGAGTACTCAAAAATGTCGCGCGTATCAAACGCTTTACAAGATTACACATCGTTATAACTGAAATCATTAAATAACAAAAAATAATAATAATAAATTCGTTATTATGTTGAAGCGTAACTCTATTAAAGCTCATTCAAACACTCGACCACACTGACAGCTCGCACTACAAATGAGAACCGGCTGGCCGTATGGGTGATTTGAACGGTTTCGCTAAAAGCCCACGATTGATCGTCCTGAATATTGACTAAGTGCAATTTGTCTTGAAAAATTGTGAAATGCCGCATTCTGTCCGAGGTTCGTATGATAAATAGTATTGTTTCACCTCAGATGTGATGTATATTAAAAGAGTATGAAAGGTTGGTTTACACACCCTTAGATTTGTTGGCAAGAATTTGTAAAGTAAACCTGTCCAACGCAAAAAAAATTCGGCCTGATTTGTTTTCCAAGAATTTGTTTTCGAGGCCTAATCTACTGTGATCAAGAGCCATCATGGCTCTTGAATGTGATCGAACATGTTTGCTATTTTTTGGGTGTACATATAAGGCTGTCAACTCGATGTAAGATGTTTCACTCTAAAATAACTTAGCCTTTCCCTCAAAAGTCACATGAATGTGCCCTTAAGTTAACCGATTTGTGGATTACAAGTTTATTGTTTGATTCAAATTATAAATTTATTAATGGGGGCTTCGCTTTTAGCCCTGGCTAAATCTATATATTATACGTAAAAGCTAAACTTGCGTGCATGTTGAGCACGCGTCGAGAAGTACGCGAAAGCATTTTTATGAAAACTGACAAGCAGTAATATGGGATATATTACCTGAACACTGCCAAACAAATTGCTGGGTGATTATATAACCTATCCAATATCCCAGAAGGTAAACTCCCGAGGTATTGATGCAGATCTCGACACTGCAAATGGCGAAAAAATGACGACCCATCGGCCGCCATATTGGACATCGGATATGTTACCGAGTGCACTGGACCTAGCGCTCAATATAAAGCTCCCCCCCAGACTCCCCGGACATAATAGTCTTTCATTTTACTGCCGATCATCGATCAACAAAGGTCACCTTTTTCCGGCTCCTGAATTTATTTTAGAATTGCTTTCATTTAGTTGTGTCTCAAGTTTACTTCAGTCGGCTGGAAAGCACCACCAGGCCCATAGCTCTTGCACAACAGACTGGCTCTTAGGAGGTATCGAGCGTAAAGCGATGTTTTACGCTTCGCTGCTGTCGAGAGAAAATATTCTTTGTTTATTTACGTAAGACTTTACTCTTCTCGCCCGTCGTTTCGTGTTGAACGATCGCGTCGAATTCTGGTCGATCAAGCCATGGGATTTGGACTGCAACTCAGGTTGTTGCTGTGGAAAAATTTTACCTTAAAAAAGCGGGCGCCGGTAAGTGTCTCGATGTATTGTCCCCGATAGAAAAGAGTGCATCGATCTGCTCCATCTTGCGCATTTTCCATTTGATGTGGGCCAATTCCAGTCTTTCTCACACACATTGACTACAAAGGGAACACGCAAACACGATTTAATCCTTTTTCTTTCAGTTTGCTGTCCTGATAGAAGTACTCAAACCGCTAGTTTTATTTCTCATTTTGATGGGCATTCGATTTAGACGAGAACCGGATTTTGTCCCGGAGGGTAAGCTACCTGTAAAGATCCATTGAAGCGTTTATAATTCAACTTACAATCTATTTAGTGTGACAATGACTGTGCAAACTAGCAGTTTTCAATAAGAGGTATCTTCTTTTGAAAGACTAAGGAAACGGTTTGTAAATAGTATGAAAAGCACAAAGGCGCTGAAATTTAGTTTAGGAAAGAGAAATATAACCATTCTTATGAACAATATTAATACTGCTCATGCTTAAAAGTTGATTGGACGACATCGATGAGTTAATTTTTTTTTTAGTTGGGAGGGGGGCGAGACGGGGGTGTTGGGTTGTAGAAATGTACACTGTTGGTTATTTTGAAGAAGAGAAACACGAGGCAGCATATGTTAACTGTACAATCCCACTTAAGGGACAGGTTAATACAGTCACCTGCTCATATCGGACAGATTGGAACAAAAGGTGCATAAAATTAATATTTAGCACTAATTATTAGATGAGGCTGAATAATGTATATCGACGCCCTCCAATATACGCATATTTCTTCAGATCATCATCAAAGCCAAATACAATATTTGTTTTATCATTTAATGAAGTAAGTGATATTAATCCATTAAGTTGATATTTGCTGTCTAAGCAGTAGTTTGGCTATTTCTTATTTTCCGCTATTTTCTCCAGCTCAACCAAAACAGCTGAGCTAATGCAGGGCTTCTTGGTTACCATCCCTTTTTCTGTTGCTATCCTGCGCTAATGATATCATTTTACTGTATTATTGCAAACATCTTCCAAATTTGGTCACCGTTTGCTTAGGCCACAGATTTAGGTTGTTTACCTTCTACGACAAATTTCTGGAAATTGGGATGTAAGTGGTAAATGTTTTTTTGGCTCGTCCCACTGGAAAATTCCCGGGGCAAACGGAAATTCTGAAAAGTTAGTCCTGTTTTCCTGGTTGGGACGTTCCGAATGGAAGCAGTGTTTCTTTCGGCCAGCAAGGTACTGGTGTATGTTCGCATATGATGGAATAGGATCTAGGCGCCAGTTCAAAAGGTGGATAATGCTATTTGGTGGATAAATCCCTATCCACTAGAAAGAGCAATAGTTTCCCAAACGCTTATCCACTGGATAGTGATTTATCTGGTGGATAGTGCTGTTCAATGTTGGAACAACTGGGGCCAGGATGGTACCAGTGACAAAGCCACAGGAAGATATGACTGGCATATGACAACCAGGTTTAACTTGTAATCCAGAATTCTCCAGTTTATTTTTCAGTGATTCTGAATCAGTTCCAGCAGAGTGCAGAGAAAGTTGGGCAAGCTGTAGTTTGCATGCACTTAAGTCCCAAAAAACTAGCCTGAAAAAATTTTGATGAGCAGGATTGCACAGTTCTTCTGTAATTTGAATTCCCAAAAACATTCACTTTCGCATTTTTTTTCCGTTTCTTTCTCTCTAGTCACTTGTTCAGCTCGCGCTCAGTCTTCTGATAACCCGGATGAGCTAGGTCATACACAAGACTCGTTTCTGCTTCTGGTTGTTTTTTTTTTAGTACAATCTCTATATGTAACAGTAGCTAACAAGGTTGCTGCACATCAGATGGAATTTTTAATCAAACTAGTAACAGTTTTTATTTTTAGGTATTAGTTATTTTGTTTATGTTTCATTTTAAGTATTTTTTGTTTCAGTCATTAGTACGTGTGCTGAATGCATAATTTTTTAAAAATGATGTGATAATTTTTGTTGATGGACTTGGAGTTGTCAAAAAATTTCCCACCTCTTCACGTACAGGTGTATGATCCCAATTAAGTTGTAACCATACAGCTGTATGCGAGGGGGTGGAGGATTAAAAATGTCTGATATCCTGAAAAGGAAAATATGCTATTGGCAACTGAAACAAACAAAAAATAATATTTAGAGTTACATAATTATTTGAATGGTAATATTGAAAAATGTTATCTCATGCCCTCATGCCCTCCTGGCAGATGATGTTATTGTACTGATCGTTGCAAGGAGGTGTGCAGTTGTTTAAACATACGTCAAGTTCTATTTTTACCACTTACATGTAAAGTTTTGTTTTCATTTGTTTCAATGGGTTTCAAAGGGTTTTAAAATTCAAAATAAGTGGCCCTCCCTCCATTCAAACAAACAAACAAACGAAAAATACAATAAAATTATGTTGTAGCTAATTTTCTATCTCAGGCAATTTTTCTTTTCCCTTTGTTTCAACTTCATTAGCATAATATTATTATATTACCATAACAAAAACAAAAGAAAAACAAAAATTACCTGAGATAAAAAATTAACTACAAAATATATATTAATGTAAAATTCAAGTACATGAAAAACGCCATTTAGTGATAAATAAATGAATATGCAGGTCACAATTAAATTGAGGTTAAAATTTTTTAACCCTTTCAGCCCTAAGATCTACATACAAATTATCCAGACTGACTTCCTTATATTTCTTTTAAGAATAGTTGAAAGAATTTGGTTTAAGATCAAAGTATTCTCAGACCCTTGGTAATCAGTTAAGTAATTCTCATAACCTTTACTCTTGATGATCTGCTGATGTTGTTAGGAGAAAATTGATGTTGGTCACTTTTGGGGCCTAAAAGGTCAACCTAAGTTGATTCTCAATTTCATTTGTTTCGTAGCCTTCATTATTCATGAATTAAGGCTAGGAGACAGAGGAAATAGAAAGCTAGTAATTAACCAAAGGTTGCGGAGTGTGGGTGACAACGATCGAAGGTCAAAATGCTTTTGCTCCATTGTTGTTCTTTGCATAAGTTTCACATGATAGATAGTCAAAACCACGCATGATCAGATTGCGAGTGATGGAAGGTCCAAATGTGTGTGATCAGATTATGAGTGATGGGATTCCAGTGGAAGTCCAAATGAATGCTGGTTACATACATGCCACGCAAGTATAACAACAGCCTGGAGATTAGGATTGTGGGCTCCTCTTGCTACCTGCAATCAGCCTAGGTTAAAAAAAGTTAATCTGACTTGTAACAAATTAATATAGGTACTGAAATAATGAAAATATGAATTTTTGATATATTGATAGAAATGTGGAATGAAGAAACAAATGCAAAGTAGATCATGGCAGTTAAAGACACAACTTATGTAGTTGCGAAAAGAAAGCCTGAAAAATAATATATCTTAAACATGGACATGAACAGATAAATGAGCTCAATATCATTAACTGTTTGTTTTCTACTGTCACAGATGTATTTCCAGTGCGGGCGCTGCCTTCATCAGGAATCATTCCTCTGCTACAGCAGTTCTGCAATAATAAAGATAAAGATGAGCATGGCTTTCCAGTCCACCCAAATGCGAGGTAATGAAGTTCAAGTTAATGTAACTAAAGAATATATATTTTACATACAGTAAACTACTGCTCATAAGTCCTCTCCCTCTCTTTATGTAGTGGATATAGTTTTTATATGAGTTCGATTTTTTACCCTGGTTTAAGGTATCATCCAGGGTAAAAAATCCTCATTTTTCGAAATTTTCGATTTTTAGATAGTTAAGTAGAGCTCATCAAGAGCTTTCTTTTAAAAAAAAATTCTAGGAAAAAACGTTTTTTCTGTGCAAACTTATGGAGCGCAAAAGTTTTTTCTATGCTAATTATTTTAATTGATCGTTGACAAGTCCTGTCATACTTGATACGCACGCCGCTGTTGAACCAAGCTAATCACGCAATTTGACAGAAATCTTGGTCTACAAGTATAGTGCTCACTGTTTTTCCCTGGTTTTGGAAGTGAGTGCCTCCAAAGAAGAAAAAAGAGCCGAGCTTGTCCGTTTTCGTCCTCCAAGACGAAAGAAGACGACAAAATCGTTTTGCAAAGTGTGGGCTTCAAAACTAGCAGAGAGCGACAAGGGCTCCTACTACAATCAAGAAAAATGGCTTAAGGATGACAAAGCTTCTGAAAAGCCCGATGAAACTACCGCGAAATCGAGTTTCACGAGTTTCTTAGGGAGCGGAGCGAGCTTTTTAGGCCGCGAAGCGAAGCGGCCAGGCGAGCGAAAAATTCGCAACAGGTCCCGCGCCATATAAAAATCGGACGAAGGACTTTTTTCAAAGTCTATTGTAACGGGAGAGCAGCTTCAAGAAAAACTCCAGGAAGCGGTTTGTTGTCGATTTTTCCAGGGAAGTGTTGAACTTTTGGAATATGTATCGAGTAAAAGTTGGCTGGCTCAGAATGAAAACTGCCCGTCGCAAATAACTAAAGATGTTTTCTCGAAAACAGAAGGATCGAACAAAGCAGAGCCTTTGAAATAAATTGTTCATCTCTTGTCGGGTTTCGTTTGTAACCTTTTCCTGCTGTGTCACTATTGTTGTCCCTTTT